TCCCAGCACCAAAAAAAAAAAAAAAGTGTATCAAAGATTACATGAAATCAAAGGCAAATGTGAAGAACAGAGACTAGAAAGAGTAAAACCTTTTATGACCAGGGCTGCAGAACAAATCAAACATATCCTTGTTAATTAAAAAAAACTACCCATTCCAGTTGGGCACTGGGGGCTCACACCTGTAATTCTAGCTACTAAGGAGGCTGAGATCAGGAGGATTGTGGTTTGAGGCCAACCCTGGCAAAAAAGTTCTTGAGACCCCCATCTCAACAGAGAAAAACTGGGTGTGGTGGCATGCACCTGTCACCCCAGCTACAGCAGGAAGCTTAAGATAGGAGGATAATTGTCCAGGGTGGCCTGGGCAAAAGTGAGACTCTATCTCAAAAACAACCAGAACAGGAGTTTCTTTTATTTATTTTTTTGTTTGTTTTGTGTTTTCTTTTGGAACAGGAGTTTCTACTCCCATTTCCTGCATGAGAAGAAGAAAATGTTTCTCTCTCTTTTTTCCCCCCATTTCTCCCCACTTTTATCCTGTTAAACTAAATTCCTTTCCCAATAAACCTTACTATTACTTTTACTGTCTAAAAAAACCCAAAAACGGCTGGATGTGTGGCTCAAGTAGTATAGCATATACCTAGCAAGTGCAAAGCCCTGAGTTCAAATCCAAGTACCAACCCAAAACAAAACAAAACAAAACTACCAGCTCCTTAATGGTTAAAAATATGCATCTAGATGGCAGGGTTGTACCACTGGAATACCCTAAAGATGATGTGATCCCATATTTGACTTTTTTTGTTTTTGAGATACTAGGAATTGAACTCAGGGTCTCACGCTTAGGCAAGTGCTCTACCAGTTGAGCACACCCCACTCCATTTTGCTTTGGTTATTTTTCAGGTAGAACTGGAGGGGTTTTTTGCCCAGGCCAGCCTAGACCATTCAACTACTTAAGCTTCCCTCATAGCTGGGATAATAGGCACACCCCACCACACCCAGCAGTTTAATTGAGATGGGACCTCACTAACTTTTTGTGCAAGCTGGCTTTGAGTCATGATCCTCCTAATCTCTGCCTCCCAAGTATCTGGAATTACAGGTTAGAGCACTGTACTCAGTACCCTCATATGATTTTCTTCAAGGATGGTTTAAACTGGAAAAAATGTTAACAAATTTAGCCATGGCTTTGGATCTATCACCTGTCATCATAATTGGTTTTGTTAATCATCCATTAACCCCAGGACAAATGGGACTGATGTTATCTTGAGCTTTTCATTTACTATGAGATTTAGTTGGAGCCAAGTCATTGTTTTTAAGAAAAAAAATGTTATGTAGGTTGTCTAAAAATAAAATACATGTCAATTAAAAAACAAAAGCTGGGCACTGGTGGCTCACGCCTGTAATCCTAACTACTTGAGAGGCTGGAATCTAGAGGATCAAGGTTCAAGGCCAGTCTGGGTAAATAGTTCAAGAGACCCCAGCTTCAAAATAACCAAAGCAAAGTGGATTGGAGGTGTTGCTCAAGTGGTAGAGCACCTGCTTTGCAAGTGTGAAGCCCTGAGTTCAAACCACAGTCCCACCAAAAGAAAAAAGTATACTGTGGGCCAAACAGAACATATATGGGCCACAGTTTGTGGGTGCTGGGATGGAGGTCTAGATTCAGGGATACCTCTGGGGCTCTCTGGCATTTCCTGCTCCCTAGGATGGCGTGCTGTTCTCTATGAACCCCACTCCAGACCTGCTTTCTTAAGCATCAACAGCACCCTCTTCCCTTTACAAACAGAGCCCACCTTGGCCCCACAGCTGGCTTCACAAACAAAGCCCTGGCCTGTGCTGCTCCTCTTGGTTGTGTCAGGTCAGCCAGAGTTTGAGGAGTTTCCAAAGGGAGGGCCAAGACAAAGCAGGAGCTGGGGCCCTCAATCCTCCTGCCCTGCCCTGTCCAACCCCAAATTCATCTCATATGATGACTCCTGGGCCCTGTCACTGCAAGCCTGGAGCTCCAACCTCCAGGGCAGAGCTGAGCTGTTCAGACCCTGTACCCACTCTGCGAGCTGCCTCACCTACCACTGTACAGAAGGGCACTAGCATTCCAAGAAGTGCCACTGGCTCAAGGTTGCACCAGGCATCAACAGCACAGGCTGAAGGGTTTTTTGTTTTGTTTTGCTATGCTAGGGATCGAACCCAGAGCCTTTGCACATGCTAGACAAGCACTGTCCCATGTCTACCAGGGTCTCCTAGAGAGGAAATGAGGCCCTGAGGAAAGCAGTAAGCTTACCCAGGCAGAGTTTCTTAACCCTTATGCTAAAAATAGCACCAATGAGGAATTCTAGGGCAAGGGTTGACATTTTTCTTTTCCCTTGACCGCTGGGCGAGTGCTATGTGCAGCAGTCCCTTTAGGTGATGGTGACACAGACTGAATGAGAGGGAGGAAAGGCCCCAGTAACAATCTCAGAAGAGGGATAACCTTGTTTGAACTCTAGCAGTTTGGGCTTTCCTGCCCAGGGCCCACAGCAGGTGATAAGATGAGTGTATAATGCAGTTCTGAGCAGAGAGGAAGGAAGGAGAGACAGAGACGGAAGCAAAGAGAAGAAAGGAGAGAAAGAGGGATTCTGGGAGGGAGAGAAGAAGCAGAAGGAGGAGGAAGAGGCAGAGGGGAAACAGCAGCCCAGGAGAGGGACTACAACTGATTCAGCACAGAGCCCACTCAGGCTCATCCCCAAGGCAGGTGAAACAACTCCCATGTCACAGGCATACACACTGAGGATTAGGGTGTGGGGTCATTTACTCAAGATCTGAGTCAGAATGTGACAGAGTCAGAATTAGAACTCATAGCTTTAGCCTTACCCTTCAAGGTTTCGAATCTTGAACCATTGAGGTAATATAGTCCAACATGTGGCTGCAAGATAACTCACCCCCATAGCGCCAGATTCCTGGGCCAGAATCAAAGGCACAAGGCCCAGGGATCTGCATTTTGAGCAGTACCCTGGTGGTGATTCTTTGGATTCTGACACCGGGAAGCCCTGTGTCTCATTTAGGACCTCTCTAGCCTGACCTCCTGCCCTAGCTCCTGACTGTACCCCTGGAGCACAGCTGTTCAGGCTGAGTCACACCCTTCCCTCACTCCATCCCCACAGACCTGGGGCTCTCCCACTCTAGACTTTGCCCAGAAGTTTCCCAGAGCCATGTAGACCCACCCTTCCAGCCAGCGCCCACTTCTCTTCTGGACGCCTTCCTGGTGGCTGGGATCCCCCTCCTTCTTGTTGGAGTAATAGCTTCCTCCTCCATCTGGAATTGTTTACATTCTATTTCGCTTTCCTTATGAGTCTGCCCTTTTCTCAGCCATTTCTACATTAAACAGGAAACTCCCAGAAGGCTAGAGACTGTTGGCTTAAACAATAAGCCTCTGCAGTCCATGACTTCATCTAACCCTCCTGCCAACGACAAATGGCAGAGCTGGGAGAGCTTTACAAATGAGGAAACCAAGCCTCAAGGAGATTGTGGCCTGCCGAAGGCTACAGCCAAGTAAGATTCAGAGCTGAATTTGGAACTCATGCCCACTCCAATGTTTAGTTCTTTTGCTTCCGCCTTGTCACTGATCACCCAAACAGTCCTGTGAGGCAGGCAGACAGGTATTGTACAATGATCCCATTGCCCAGGTAAGGAAAGTGAGGCCCAGAGTAGACCATTCAACACCATCCTTACCTTGTTCCCACTTCTAGCTGCACTTGGGTCTGAGTCCAAGTGCTGACCTTTTTTCTCTCCTCTCCTCTGGCTGATGGATGTTGCCTAGGACCCCTTAGCAGGATGGGACAGAACTTAGTTTTGGACTCCTGGACCACAGCCCTCATCCTGGACTGGTCTCAATGCCACTCTGGACCCAGGTGTCTACTTTGCAGGTGAAGACTCACTTTGCCAGCCTCGAAGCTGGTGGGGGCTCAGAGGGAGGGAATCAGCACCTGGGTATACCTTGGTCTCCAAGACTCTGAACTTTGTCCCTTCTTATTAATGCCCAGCTGGAGAAGGAGCAACCTGAACTGTCCTTACCCCAAGTGGAGGAGGGCAGCTCTAAGCCTGGCCCAGCCCCAGCCCGGCCCAGTCTGGGCCAAGCTGGGATGAGTATGGGGCAAGGAGGCCAAGCTGGCATTCCTGAGAGAGGTTTGCCAAGCTCTACCCTTCAGGTGTGGTCTTGGGAACCTCAAAGGAGGCATGGCCCAACTCCAAACTCTGGAATAGAGTCCTAAGGCACCCAGCTTTAGACTTTGGACAATGCTTGATGGAAAATAAAAACAATAGCTAGTATGTGTTAAGCCCAGGAGATGTGTCAGGTCCTGTTCAGCCACCTCACCCCTACCCTTCATGTTCTTAGAGCTGTGGAGATGGTTCCATCCAGCCATGTTCCTCTGTCCCCTCTCTGCATCATCTAAACATGTCTGATCAAAAACTGTCAAAAATGAGGCTCTGTTTTTATGCTCCTTCTTCTGCAATCTGAGATCCCCTGCTTCAGCCCCTTCCACATTTCCACCATGACCAGGACCACTCCATTCTTTTTTTTGACAGTAGTGGGGTTTGAATTCAGAGTCTTCTTGTGCTTGTTAGGCAGGTGCTCTGCCACTTGAGCCACAACTTCAGCCCAGGACCACTCCATTCTTGGGCGATCCAGCAGCACTTATTCTGGAAGCCCTCTGTCCCCACAAGTCCCCAGTAGGGCGGGATCCCCTTCCTCTGTCTGTTCAAGACACCCACTCGTATTAGTGGATGGGGCCCCCAGTTGGTCCTAGCGGCACTTCGCCTCCGATTTTGTCCTTCTATGCCGCATTATGAGGGGGGGGTGTAGGACTCTGAAGCATAAGGCAGTTAATAAAAAGCCATCAAGGGGTGCAGAATGACTTCATGAGAACAGAAGTTCTCTTCGCACCTCTCTCTGCAGGGGAGGGTCAGAAGCCACGCCCCCAGCAGCGGCCGCCCCGCCCCCGCCCGTCCATCTCTGGGCGCCGTACAGTACGCTTGCGCAAAGGCAGGCCGCGCCCACAGCGCATGCGCAGCGCTTACGGTTGCTGTATATTAGGGCGACAGCGGTCGCGGCCTGAGGCTGCTCGCGGACAAGGGCATCGGCTCGATTGGACTTCTCCGCTTGAGTGCCCGCCGCCGCCGCTGCCACCTCCGCCTCGGTCGAGTGCCCCGCTCAGGTGAGGGCCCGCGCCCTGGTGCGGCTCCGGCCACGGGAGCTCCCGCGCGTCTAGCTTGCGCGGGCCCTGTTCCCACGACCACTGGGATCCCATCCCCCACCGTCCCAGTCACTCGTCACCTTGGGCCAACGTTCACGCTCCAGATCTTCTCCCTTTTCAGCCACCTCTGATTCCCCCAGTCGCGCTTTCCCGACATTCCGCGTTTACCTGGCTGCTTTTCCCCATATCCTTCTCATTCTCCAGCCCTCCATTCGAGGGGACCCCGAGCTCACCGCCCTCTCCTCCCCTGCCAGGAACAACAACCTCCAGACCCAGCTCCCTGGACTCGATAGCCCCCGTTCTTGTCCCATAAGCCCAAGGCTCTTCCCTCACACCCCTGTCCTTCTCAGTGCTCTCAGTTTGGAGCATGACCTCCAGGAAATCCTTACTCCACGGACCCAGAGCTTGGCTGGATGCCTTCCTGGGGTTTGGAGGTGTGGGGACTAGGAGAAAGCCAGGATCTCTATCCTCCCTCCCTGCCTGTATGGGTGACAGTGACTTCCCTAGCCTCACTTCACCTGGGTGTGTGCTAAGGTGTCTTATCTGCACTGTGCATCTCCTGTTAAGGAGCCTCTGTCCTACCAAACCTGTTTCTTCCACCCCTTTGTTATTGATTGTCAGTATTTATTGTATTTGGGGATGTTGCTTTGCGGGTGTTTTTGTATAGGGCTGGAGAATGAAGGAGTTGGTGACTCTGGTAGAGTGTAGTCACTACTCCTTCCTTGAGGTTGACATCAGAGCTGTCTTTAGATATTTTTGAGTGAGATATGTTAGAATCCCAGGGTACTCTTGGTGTGAACTGCCAGTGACAGTGGTGTTTGCTTGGTTTTTAATGAGCGAGCGAGCTTGTCACTGACCATCAGTCTCTCTACAGGAGCCAGCACACTTCCCAGACATGGAGACGGTTGTTCGCCGATGCCCATTCTTATCTCGAGTCTCGCAAGCCTTTCTGCAGAAGGCTGGCAAATCTCTGTTGTTCTATGCCCAGAACTGCCCCAAGATGATGGAAGTTGGGGCCAAGCCAGCACCCCGGGCCCTGTCCACTTCAGCAGTACACTGCCAGCAGATCAAAGAAACTCCTCCAGCCAATGAGAGTAAGTTTTTTTGGTGGTAAAGGAACAGGTGGGGAGGTTTGCAGCAGTTGCAGTCTCCAGTGGTGGTCAGGATCACCTAAGTTATCAGGCTTAGCTCTGTGTGTGGGTTATCTCAGGTGATTGTCACACTAACACCACAGGGTAGGGACGCTTAGTGTTCCTGGCTTTAAAGGTGAAAGGGTGGCCAGGCACTGGTGACTCATGCCTATAATCCTATCTACTTAGGAGACAGAGATCAGGAGGGTCACGGTACAAAGCCAGCCTCGGCAAATAGTTCATGAGACTGTATCTCGAAAATATCCAACACAAAAAAGGGCTGGTGGAGTGGCTCAAGTGGTAGATTTCCTGCCTAGCAAGCATGAGGCCCTGAGTTCAAACCCCAGTACTGCAAAAAAAAAAAAAAAAAAAAAAAAAGGTGAAGTGGTGGCTTGTGTTCTACTTACAGGTTTTTGGGTTGCATGTGCCTGTTGGGGTTTTAGTGTTTTCTCCATGTATTCTATAGTAATGTTCTACTCTAACCTTCCTTTGGCTTTATATTATTACTACTGCTACTACTACTACTATCATTATTATTATTAGGCAGTACTGAGATTTGAATTCCGGGACTTGCACTTTCACTTGAGCCAGGCTACCGGCCTTTTTTGCTTTAGTTATTTTTCCAGTAGAGTCTCACACTTTTGCCCAGGTTGGCCTCAGCTGCAATCCTCCTTCTTTTACCTCGTGAATAGCTGGAATTGCAGACATGTACCAACTTGTTTTTTGAAATAAGATCTTGATAACTTTTTTCTGTCCAAGCTAGCCAAGCAATCACGATCCTCCTATTTCCACTTCCGAATAGCTGGGAGTACAGACTGAAACCATCATGCCTGAACTGGCCTTTTTTTTTTTTTGGCAGTCCTTGGGGTTTGAATTTAGGACCTCACATCTACTAGGCAGGTGCTCTACCACTTGAGCAACTCCACCAGCCCTTTTTTGTTTTGGACATTTTTGAGATAGGATCTTGCAGACTATTTGCTCAGGCTGTCCTTGAACTGTGATCCTCCTGATCTTTGCCTCCTGAGTAGCTAGGGCATGAGCCACCAGTGCCCTGCTGTCTTTGGCTGTTTTTTCTTTTCTTTTTTCAGTACTGGGGTTTGAACTCAGGGCCTACACCTTGAGCCACTCCACCAGCTCTTTTTTGTGATGGGTTCTTTTGAGGTAGGGTCTCATGAACTATTTGCCTGGACTGGCTTTGACCTGAGAACCTTCTGATCTATGTGTCCTGAGTAGCTGGGATTACAGGCGTGAGCCACTGGTGCCTGGCTGTCTTTGGCTTTTAAAGTAGTGATTTTTAAAAAAACAATTTTATTAGCTGGACGCCAATGGCTCAGTGGTGTTAAGTACATTTATATTGTTAGGCAACCACCTGGACCATCTTTTTCCAGAATTTTCTTCATCTTCCTAAAGTAAAACTTCGTACATGAAACGTTAACTCCTATTTTTCCTCCCCCAGCTCCTGGCAAGCACTATTCTACTTTCTGTCTATATCAATTTGATTGTTCTAGGTACGTCATATAAGTGGAATCATAAAGTATTTGTTAGTATTTTAAAAAGATGGCTCTATTTCATGTATTTTTTGTTGTTATTGTTCTTAATGAATAGACCAGAGTTGAATTGTCTTGGTCTGGTTCTGCCAGGAGAGGTTTTCCAGTTTCCACTTAATGCTAGAGAACATTTCATCTTAAAGGCTTCTCTTAGTTGAGTTCTCTAGGTGTGGACCTGTAACAAAGAAGTGGTTTTTGTTTTGTTTTGTTTTAAGTAGGAAGGACTTAATCCTCTGTAGGATTTATTTTCAGAAGTTAGTTTTGTTTTTACCAGAATGTTTGCAGTGGTGATATTTTGAATCATAAGGCTCTTTTCCTTTTTCTAGTCTTTCTATAATGAATATATTACTTTTATACTGTATAAAATTAACTTCAAAATAACCTTTGACTCCCCTTTATAGAAAATTTTAATGAAAACTATGAGACACCTTTTCCAAGTTTTAGGAAAGGTTAGCCTATAACTCAAGTCATCATTCCAAAATGGTGAAGAAAGACTTTTCTAGAAGGAAGGTGAAAGAAATTGCTCAAGGGGAGAGGGAAGTCATCATGACCAGAAGCAGAATTGTCAGCTAGCTTCATTAAGTCATAGTCTTCTTTGAAGAGCTGAGAAAGGTGAGGCATGTGAATGTGTGGTCAATTTTTTTTTTTTTTTTGTGGTACTCGGGTTTGAACCCAGGGCCTACACCTTGAGCCACTCCACCATCCCTTTTTTGTGATGGCTGTTTTTGAGATAGGAGCTCACAGACTATTTTCCCAGGCTGGCTTCGAACCTTGTTCCTCCTGATCTCTGCCTCCTGAGTAGCTAGGTTACGGGCGTGTGTGAGCCACCTGGCTCTATTTATATTTTTTTGTTTTGTTTTGTTTAACATACTAATAGTTTGAACTCTTTAACAGCAATCTAAAGACCTAAGTGTTATTCTAATATTTTTGTTTAGAAGAAAACCAATCATTTTTATGTTAAATAACAGCAAGCTTTTTTTATGAAGAATTTATCTAGAAAATACTAGCAGAGAAAAAAATTACATGAATACTTCCAATTACCTTAGAGAGTGTTCTTCTTCTGAAATATGCTGAGTGTCTGTGGGGTAGAAATTACTAGCAATGATCCAACTCAAGATCTCTGGAAACTGGGCATGGTGACACACACCTATAACCCCAGCTCTCAGGAGGCTGAGGCAGGAGGATCTCAAGTTCAAGACTAGCCTACATAGTAAGTCTTGAAAAAAACAAATCAAAATTCTAGGTGGTCTAAAAATAGAAAGTGGTACTTTTTGGATTAATAAGGAGAAATCCTGTGGATTTGAGAGGTAACTAGAGTTTGCTCCTGAGCTCTTCATAGGAGCACTGTTTCCAGTGAGGGAGATGGGAAAACAGAGATTAGCAGAAGCTAATAAAAATAAGTGTGAGTCTGATTGTGGAGTAGAGTAAGTGTAAAGCTTATCTTTGAGGCAATAAGAGAAAAACATCAGTGTTTTTTTTGGGTACTGTGTGAGCAGATCTGATGCCCATTTCCTCCCTCAGAAGACAAAACTGCCAAAGCCAAGATCCAGCAGCCTCCTGACAGATCCCAGCAGACTCCAGATGGCACACAGCTTCTGTCTGGTCATCCCTCGCCTGCCACAAGCCAGGGCTCTGCCAGCAAGTGCCCTTTCCTGGCAGCACAGATGAACCAGATGGGCAGCAATGTCTTCCGCAAAGCCAGCCTGGAGCTTCAGGAGGATGTTCAGGAGATGCACGCTGTGAGGAAAGGTAACAGACAAGGCGTGAACTGGCAGGAGGGGTGAGCATGTCCTTTGGGCTCCCGGGACCATCAGGCTTGGGTCTGAGCTATTATTAGAAGGTATTTGTGTAAACACCTTCCTCTTCTATGGCCAAGGAGGAAGATCCTCAAGATAGACAGTCGGGACAGTATTGCAAAATGTGGGACTTTCTTTCTGGTGAGTACATAGGATGTCACCAGCTTTTCAACTAACTGCTTAATTTCTGAAAATAGCCTGCAGCCTTGAGCTGCTCCCAACTGTCCTCTGTCCCTTTGGTTTTTTCCACACTTTAGTAGGCTAAAAGGTAGAGAATGCTGGTGTTACTACAGTTAAGTGCTGGTCCTAGGACTGCCAAGCTGTGTCCTACTGATGGCCACAAGTGGCAACCTTAATTGTAACTGAGCACCTAAGCTCCCCCCCCAAAAAATAAACCTTACCAGTAGAAATTATGCATATGGTCAAAACTGTTTCCCATGAAACAAATAGGTAGTAGGGAGGGTAGTGGAATGAGTGGCGTAGTGAAGACGTAGCAAGCAGCTGGGAAACTTGGGACTTTAGTATTCGTTAAAGCTGACTGGTACCTCTGAAAACAAAACAGCACCTGAGCCAGGTCCGTGGTACAGCATGTTTGTAATCCCAGCACTTGGGAGGCTGAGGCAGGAAGATCATGAGTTGGAGGCCAGCCTGAGCTACATAGACCCTATTTCAAAAAGTGCCTCCCCACCAAAAAAAAAAAAAAGAGAGAGAAAAGAAAAACATCAAAAGTCAGCCCTTATAATAATCAAGTATACTAGAAGAGGAGCTACTTCACACACTCAGTCACAAATAGCTTTGGTTACGATCAGGTTTTGTTTTGTTTTTGTGAACTAAGCAGTAAGTCTTTTCTTCTTCCCTTTTTCTTTTTTCAGTCTGTCTTTGTTGTTGTTCATTTGTTTTTTTGAGACAGGGTCCCACTGTGTAGCTCAAGTTGGCCTCAAATTTGAGATCCTCCTGCCTCAGCCTCTTGAGTGCTGGGATTGCAGGTACATACCACCATGCCTGGCCCTAATAAGCCATGTTCTTGGGGTTTTTTGATATGGTCATCTTTATTTCATCTCATATATTTGTTCAGTCTCAGAGATTTATTAGTTACAACACAAATATTTACAGTAGAAAACCCAAGCCAACATGGATCTCTCTAAGGACATCAAAAATAGGACTGGAAATGCCATTGTCTCCTTGGGATGGCTAATAAACCATTTCTGACAGTATGCCTAAAAGGTACTGTGAACTCAGAATAGAACATCCATCCCACTTGCCTCTTGTTACTTTGGTTACAGAGGTTGCCCAAACCTCAGTGAACCCCAGTGTGATCAACGTGAAGACCGATGGAGAGGATCCAAGCGGATTGCTGAAGAATTTCCAGGATATCATGCGAAAGCAGAGGCCAGAAGGAGTGTCTCATCTTCTCCAAGATAACTTGCCAAAGTGTGAGTCTCATTGTTACTTGCCTGGTACAGAAGAGTTTATAACTTAAATGTACATCAGATTAAACATAAAATTGCATGATGAGTTAAGGATTGAAAGCCATGCCCCTTGCTTGTGGTCTTATTGACCACAAGTCCTATTGGTAATCAGTTTTCTTTATTTAAAAGCTCACCACCTAGCCAGGTGCCAGTGGCACACCTATAATCCTAGCTACTCAGGAGGCAGATTTCAGGAAGATTGCAGTTTAAGGCCAGCTCCGGACAAATAGTTTGCAAGACCCTATCTTAAAAATACCTAACACAGAAAAGAGCTGGTGGAGTGGCTCAAGTGGGAGAGTTGCCTGCCTTGCAAGCATAAGGCCCTAAGTTCAAACTCCAGTACAACCAAAAATAAAAAAAGAACAACTACCTGCAAAAGAGCTGGGTGCTGGTGGCTCCAAAATCCTAGCTGCTTGGGAGGCTGAGATCAGGAGAATCGAGGTTCAAGGCCAGCCCTGGCAAATAGTTCACAAGACCCCATCTCCAAAATAACCAGAGCAAAATGGACTGGAGGTGTGGCTCAAGTGCCAGAATGCCTGCTTTGCAACCATAAAGCCCTGAGTTCAAACTAAATAAATAGTTCCACCTAAATAAATAGATAAATGAAAACCCAATTATTACCTAGTGGACACTGTATCAGGCACTTGACATGCAGTCTCTTTGACCCTTCACAGTACAAGGATATCAAGCAAGCAGGTGGCCCAGAATCCTTGCTATGATGTGACCAAGCTGAGATTTGAACCAAAACCCAGATGTGTTTCTTCATCATCAGCCTTGACTGTATTTTGTTTGTCTTTTAGCTGTTTCCACTTTTCAGTATGATCATTTCTTTGAGAAGAAAATTGATGAGAAAAGAAATGACCACACCTATAGAGTTTTTAAAACTGTGAACCGGAGGGCACACATCTTCCCCATGGCAGATGATTACTCGGACTCCCTCATCACCAAAAAGCAGGTGTCGGTCTGGTGCAGTAATGACTACCTAGGCATGAGTCGCCACCCACGGGTGTGTGGGGCAGTTGTGTAAGTAGCTGTCAGCTATCAAATCCCATTGGCATTATTTGGCAATACATTGACCATTTATGTGGGTTGGATCTTTAATGGGGGGATTATTCAGCAACTGAAAGTGTGCCATAGCAAAATGCTATCGTTAGCCTTTGAAAGTAGCTAGATTACTTTTACAGAAGCTCTAATGTGATGTGCAGGTAGCTGGTGGCACTCCTTTATGTGTGTGAGTTCAAACTCATGGACTCACTCCCTACCACTCCACCAGTGAGTGTGCCTTTAACACCAGCAGCCTTGCACAGACACCCTTAGGTGTAGCTGCAGGTAGAGAAATACAAATCTAGCAGCACAGGGGGAAAGCTATTTCAATAGAACATTAAAAAAAAACAAAAACACAGCAGGTCCCATCATTTATACCCTTCAGGAGGATCACCGTGGCTGGGATGTGTGAAAGAACTGTTGGTCAAGTTCTCCCAGTGGCTTGCTAAAGAGGCCCATCTGTTCCACGGTAGATAGATGTATTAACGTTGTGGGACTGGTTTGAAGCCCTTCTAGAGTTTGCTTTCTTGTAGTGTATTATTGGAAGGAATGATGTGACTCAGAGAAAAGAATCTTAGTGTAAATCAGCTCAGCGAGCACTAAGTGCTTAGTGACTGTGAAATGGACACTTGTTCCTGATGATCCCTAGGGGCATCATGGTGCCGGGGTGACCCCCCTCCACCATCTCCAGTCTGAAGCTGAGGTCAGCTTTCACAGCAGCAGTTGATAGATCACAGTTTCCATCTACTGGTCCTGGAAAGAGGCCCAGTTCACTAACGGTGTTTAGAACCATGAGCTTCATCTTTGTCTTTCTTTCTTTTTTTTTTAAACAGGGAGACTTTGAAACAACATGGTGCAGGAGCAGGTGGTACTAGAAATATTTCTGGAACTAGTAAATTCCATGTGGACCTGGAGCAGGAGCTGGCTGACCTGCACGGGAAAGATGCAGCCCTGTTGTTTTCTTCATGCTTCGTGGCCAACGACTCGACTCTCTTCACCTTGGCTAAGATGATGCCCGGTGAGCCTGGTGTGGAGCCTTGGAGTGTTTGGTGTCTTCGTAATAACAAGAATAGTGGCAACAAAGAATGCCTGCTGCAAACCAGATAGACAGTAACAGGCCTGTCTGGGAGCATTTCATCTCTGAGCATGAAGTGTTAGCTGCATGTTTTCAGTTCCAATAGAACATGACACCAAAGAAGATTCAAAAATGAAAGATCATCTCCTTAAGCTAATTGCCTCCAAGGTGCTTTGCTTTCTAAGATGTGCCTTTGGAGAAATCTTTGAATAATTTTGAGTTTTCTCTTGGTTGAGTCTGAGTGAGGCCCATAGATTTAAAGGCTACTTAATTGCTCTACACAGGTTTATTCTATGCCTTTGGGCCTTTTCACAGGGGAGGCCTGGTCATTTATGCCAGCAAACATACTGCAGTGTCTTTCCTAATGGGCATTTTCAAGGCATTATTTTCAGGAAAAAGTCTGATGTCTCACTCTAGGAAATACTTGCCTTTGATGCAGATGGCTGTAAATAGCATTTTTCTCATGTCAGGCTGTGAGATTTACTCTGATTCTGGGAACCATGCCTCCATGATCCAAGGGATCCGGAACAGCCGAGTACCAAAGTACATCTTCCGTCACAATGATGTCAGCCATCTCAGAGAGCTGCTACAAAGGGCTGACCCCTCAGTCCCCAAGATTGTTGCATTCGAAACTGTCCATTCAATGGATGGTAAGTCTAATCAGAGGCTAATCTGAAACATAAGATGAAAAACTAGCACTGAAGGGTTTAAAAAGTGTGTTGTGAGCCTGGTGTGGTAGTGCTACCTAGCGCTGGGGAGGCTGGGACAAGGAGGGTCGCAAGTTACAGGTCAGCCTGTGCTACATAGTGAAACCCTATCTCAAAAGCAGACAGACAAAAAAAAAAGTATGGTGTTTTGAGACTAGGGACATAGCTCAGTGGTAGAGTGTGTGCCTCGTATGCTCAGGACCCTGGGTTCAATCCCCAGCACCAAAAACAAGAACAAATAGTGTGGTGGTTTTGGGTTTTCATTTTATTTTCCTTTCTCTCTGCTGGGATTCCTTAATTAGTTCTCATTGTGTAGATGTGGGTTAATGTAGATTTTCTGTTTTGGCTCTTGCTAAGCTCTTAGACTACAAGGGAAGCGAGAAATCGGGCGAAGTTTATTTTGTCCCCAACATTAAAAATGAGAGCTTGGAGCAGGCACCAGTGTCTCGGTGCCTATAATCCTACCTACTTGGAGGCAGAGATCAGGAGGTTGAGGTTCAAGGTCAGTCCAGGCAAATAGTTTGTAAGACTCTGTCTCAAAACCGTCCAGCACATAAAGGGGCTGGCAGAGTGGCTCAAGTGATGGAGCACCTGCCTAGCAAGAGTGAGGTCCTGAGTTCAAAACCCCAGTACCACCAAAAACACGACACCTTGGAATGTAAGTTACTTTGTTCCTCTGACCACCATTTCTGAAATATCTGAAGTGTAAGCTCCTCAGTGCAGACTCTGTCTCTCCTCAGGAGCAGTGTGCCCGCTGGAAGAGCTGTGTGACGTGGCCCATGAGTTTGGAGCAATCACCTTTGTGGATGAGGTCCATGCGGTGGGACTGTATGGGGCTCGAGGTGGAGGGATTGGTGATCGAGATGGAGTCATGCCAAAAATGGACATCATTTCTGGAACACTTGGTATGTATACTTTGTACGCTGTGTCATCTCCACTAAAATTGTGTCCTCTTAACAAAGCCAAGGACGAAGTAGTCTAACTGGAACCAGGTGAGGAGACAGCATGATTGCATAGAAGGCCTGGGCCACTTTCTTTGGGGTGAGTTTTTGTCCCAGTGAGTAGTAGCCCAGCTTAGCAGAATCCCTTGGGCCACAGAAGCTTGCAGCCTTTCAGAGCCAAACATGACAGAAATAACACTTACTGCCATCTAAGCTCATTCCATACATAGTTGTGGTAACTACAGGCTGTGACAAGAGCTTTTACTCTGTGCCTTGGATTGTTCCCCTAAATCAAAAAGAAGAAAGAACAAGTACTCTCTTGCTAGAGCAGTTGTTAGGTCTAGGTGCTGTGAAGTGCTGAGTTTTGTGCCTGCCATGGGGGAACATTCCAGGTCCTGCTGGCTTTCCTGTGCTCCTCCTGCAGAGGAAGCATCTCATGGTGGTTGGAAGCAGACTCTGGAGCCTGAACTCCAGTGCTGGCTACATAACTCATTAGTTATTGGTCCTCAAGCTGGTGGTCAACCTCAGTACATCTCAGTTTCCTCACCAATATGATGGAAATAGCAACAGGATCTATATCAGAATTTTTGTAGTGAAGATAAGTAAGTCGTGCAAATCATTGTTGTAGACATTGCCTTTGCCTGTGAGGACCCTAAAGAAGTGAATTACATATTTGAGGTTTTTTTTTTTTTTTTTTTTTTTTTTGGTGGGACTGGGGTTTTGAACTCGCCTTTGTACTTGCAAAGCAGGCTCTCTTACCACTTGAGCCACACCTCCAGTCCATTTTGCTCTGGTTATTTCGGAGATAATGTCTTTTGAATTATTTGCCTGGGCTGGCCTCGAACCTCAGTCATTCTGATGTCAGCCTCCCACATAGTTAGCATTACACGTGTGAGCCACCAGTGCCCAGCTTGAGGATTTTTTTAAACCTTCAGAAGTTTGTAAGGCAGTTAGAAACCCATGTAACAGTCAGCTAAAATGCCAAGTTAAGGCACTTGGTAAAGGACAGGCAGGCAAAAAAGACCATTTGTCAGCCTGCCACAGGAAGTGAGCCATGCAGGCCTGAAAGCCAGGGCTCTCAGGGTGGAGCCAGGCCAAGAGAAAGGCAGTTATTCACATGGCTGCTTTGTCTTTCCAGGTGCCCTCAGTGGGCTTTGAAGGTGTGGTCATGGTGAGGTGGAATAGGCTGGAGGGAGAAGTTTCCCATAGGAGTTTGGATCCGCCCAACCCTCAGCCAATCCTCCTGGTTCAGCAGAAGTGTTAATTACAGAACATCATGCTAAGATCTCTGAGAACTCTTCTGGAGCCATTAATCCTGAAACTTGAGATGCCCATTATATAAGAGACTTAAGTAGAATTCAAAAAACAAGTCTGGCCCTAAATCAACCCTAACAGGTTCTGAGTTTTTGTATGTATTTGGAAATGCTATTGTCAGAGTTTTGTGTTTGCTTAGGTAGGAAGTAACAGAGGCCACAGCGTAACAGTGAACAAATGCCTTAGTCTTCAGGGAAATGTCCACAGCTCACATGGTGTTCACAGAGCAGAATGCAGAAGAGGGGAATGAATCCTTGCTGGTGGGCAGGGCAGCGGGCCTGGTGGGAGAGTGAGAATAAAATGGTTATAGGAGAGGCCACTCAGTGCCCGGCACACTAGACTTGTCCTAGGGCCGCCACCCTGCTCTGGGGACCCGTATTCTGAGCTTATCCCTGAGACTAGGCAAGACCTTTTTATAACTTTCCTCAGCTCTTTCCACCCTGAAAATGGGTAGATGGCCCCTACTTCCGAGTGTCTTGGAACAAAGGAGAAGAGTTAATGCTTGAGGTGCTGCTGCACTTCACTGTGGCTGTGTCCATTTTGAGGCTGAGGCTGTGTTGATACAGTAAAGCTGTCTCCTCCCAGGCAAAGCCTTTGGCTGCGTTGGAGGGTACATTGCCAGCACAAGTTCTCTGGTGGACACTGTACGGTCCTACGCAGCTGGCTTCATCTTCACCACTTCCCTGCCACCTATGCTGCTAGCTGGAGCCCTGGAGTCTGTGCGGATCCTGAAGAGTGCTGAAGGGCAGGCGCTCCGCCGTCAGCACCAGCGCAACGTCAAGCTTATGAGGCAGATGCTAATGGATGCCGGTCTTCCAGTCATCCACTGCCCTAGTCACATCATCCCTGTGCGGGTAATGACCTGTCTGTGATGGCTTCCAAGGTAGCACGCACACACACACAGAGGCTTGGGCAAGGAGACTGCCAGGGCCAGGGCTATAGCTAGTGGCCTTCTGCCATGTCTGTCTTTGGCTGCCTTCACAATGGGACTGAAGCCTTTGAACCCAGCAGGCTGGACACAGCTTCTCTCTCCAGAGCACTGACCTTAACAGGGTAAACACAGAGCTTGGGTCAGGAAAGTTCCAGAAGCCTGAGCTGGGCTGGCTTTGAAGTGTGAATTGTGTAGTAAGCCTTGCCCTTTCTAGTAAAAATGGTAGCCCTGTCACTGTCACAGCTGGATTAGTGTGAGGAAATGGCTAGTATAAGCTCCTGGGAATGAGAATTAGCTGGTGTGAAAAAAAGCACCATCTTCCCTGTATGAGGCCTGGGATTCGGGAAGCAGTGTGACATTTACTTCCTGTATGGCTTTGGTTGTTGGGTCCTTCCCAAACAACACCAGCTCCCTTAAATTGCAGGTGTTGGGGCAGTTTCAAGCTTACACGTGCTACTATAGCCTGGCCAGGAACCTGCGCCTCATGTTTTCCCTTATCTGCCAGGAGGTAGCTCGTCCTCTTCTGACCTTATCTTCTGCTGCCATTGAACTTAGGTCGCTGATGCTGCTAAAAACACAGAAGTCTGTGACGAACTAATGAGCAGACATAACATCTACGTCCAAGCGATCAATTACCCCACGGTGCCACGTGGGGAGGAGCTCCTGCGCATTGCCCCCACCCCGCATCACACCCCACAGATGATGAAGTACTTCCTGGGTGAGTGCTGCAGAGGGCAGCTGTGCTGGCTGGCTGTGGGTCAGAGGACTGGCTTCAGGGTTTGTCTTTTCTTGTTCTGAGTAAAGAATGCCCTGAGGAAGTACACAGCTTGAAAAGACATTTAGCTTGACTCACTGTAGGAGTGCAGAGTCCTCTTGGAAGCTCTGAGGGAGCCTGCTTGTCCTCAGAGGGCTCTGCCTAAGGATACAGAGTGGTGGCTGTTGGAGGGGAGAGGAGGCCTCTGGAGGCATGAGTCTGCCCTGGCCTCAAATTCAGCCCATATTCTCTGCACTGCTTTCCACACCCTGGCATTGTGTGTGACTTGAACTAACCCTAGCCTCACCCCTCTGGTAAGAGAAATTGCTCAAGGTTCTGTACTGCCACACCCGCCCCCATTGTCCCACTCAAAGGCAGAGACTATAGAAGGGGCTTTTAGCCACAGGTTGCCACTGCCTCAAAGGGGCATTGCCTGCTGAGCCCTCCTGAGATGGCTCAGCTTCCTGGCAGCCTTCATGTTCCATTAGCCGTAAATGCTCACTTTTGTTCTGTTTTGCCCTAGGAGTGGAGCTCAGGGTCTTACACATGTTGAGAAGTGCTCTGTTAGGAGCTACTCCAGCCCCAGAAATGCTCAGCCTAATCCGAGGGTGAGGATGTGAGCACCTTCTTCCCTGAAGGCTTGTGAATGAGGCCTGACTGGGAGTTGTTTTTCTCTTTATTTTTACACCTGAGCCACTCCACCAGCTCTCTTTTTTGTGATTGTTTTTTTTTTTCTCAAGATAGAGTCAGCAAACCATTTGCCCCAGGCTGAGTAGCTACGATTACAGATGTGAGCCCCCAGCACAGTTTCACATACCGTTAAATTCATACTTTTAGCGGTGCTGGTGGTTTACACCATAATCTTAGCTACTCAGGAGGCAGCGATCAGGATGATTGCAGTGGAAATCAGCCCCTGGCCCCCATCTTGAAACAAACCATCACAAAAAGGCACCAGCAGTAGCTCAAGTGGTAGAGCACCTGCCTACCAAGCATGAGGCCCAGAATTCAAACCTCAGTGCCACCACAAAAAAAAAAAAAAACCACTCTTTTAAAATATAGGACCCAGTGTTTTTTTTTTAGGTAATTCACAAGGCTGTGCAACCATCACCTCCTCACCCCAGAGAGAAATCCTGTACCCATTAGCAATGCACCCCGATTCCCCAGCCCCTGTCCACCACTAATCTCTCCCTGTCTGGATCAAATCCAAGACCTTGCATGTGCTAGGCAAGTACTTCCTCTGAGCCTAGCCCACGGCCAGTGTTTTTAAGGTTCATCCATGTTACAGCATCAGTCATCACTGCATTTCTTTCTTGTCTTTTTTGTGGTGCTGGGATTTGAACTCTGGGGCTGTGCCTCCTGGGCAGGTGCTCCACACTTGAACCACATGCCCCAGTCTTGCATTTATTTTTCTTACCAAATACTCTTCCATTGTGAAGATTTACCGCATTCTGTTTAGCCGCTAATTGATGGGCATTTGGGTTGTTTTCACTGTTTGACTATCCTGAATAATGCTGCCATGCCTATTTGTGTACAAGTTCTTGTGCGGACACAAGACATATGTAATACATAAGAACTGTCTCTCCTCAGAGAACCTGCTGGCCACGTGGAAGCGAGTGGGGCTGGAACTGAAGCCACATTCTTCGGCGGAGTGCAACTTCTGCAGGAGGCCCCTGCATTTTGAAGTCATGAGTGAGAGAGAGAGAGCCTATTTCACAGGCATGAGCAAGATGGTGTCTGCCCGGGCCTGAGTGGGACCTCAGTCATTCTACCCAACCCCAGCCATTATCATATCCACGTAGTCTCCAGAGTTGTCTTTGTATGTGAACTAAATTATATTAAATCTTAATCTAGAGTAAAAATCATAGTCCTGAAAATAAATTCTTGTTTAAGCGATGGGTGTTTCTGTTACTGGCTACTGAATGAAAAAATTATAATTTGATCTGTGTCATTGGGATATAGATACAATATGCATTATAATGCCTGCAGACCTGGAGTGGCCACCTCTCTAACACCCCTGCCATAGTGGCACACCAGCAACTGAGCAGTTTGCAAGTAGTGACAGCACCCTACATCCAGTTTCACTTCAAACTTCCCACCTCCAGCCTGGACTGGGCAGTCTGCTCCTCACAGTCCCTCAGCCACTGCTCACACCTCACTCTTCCCACTGAAAGGCCAGCCATCAGTCCTCCAGTCTGCCACTGCCACCTATATTCATGTCGCCTTCAGCAAGACTGCAAAAGGTTTGACCCTTTGCACTTGTATTTGGGGCCTACTGCTTCTCACACGTCCTGTCATGAGTTTCTCCCTCTCCACTGGCTGATTTCTGTAGACCTGTAGCAGGCTTGTCACCCATCTTAGCAGTCAACAATCTCTCCCTCAGGCTCAACCCCTCATAGCTGCCACCATCTCTGCTCTGCACAGCCCTCCCCATTTAGTCTTGATTCCTGTTCCCTGTTGCTATATCTTGCCTGCTTTGCCAAAGCCAGTTCTGTCTCTTTACTGGATCCCCCACTGTATTTGAGCACTTTTTGCTTTAGATATTTTTTCAGATAGGCTCATGCTTTTTTCCTGGCCAGCCTGGGACTACGATCCTCCTCTGAAGTAGCTGGGATTACAGGTGTGAGCTACCATGCCTGGCTCTCCTGTGAATATTGATGTCTCCACTAAGCTCAGTTTTAATGCAGGCAGCACTCCCCAGCCTCACCCCCAGTCCTGGGCTCAGTTGCATCTGCACCGACTGCTGACTGCTGGGCATTAAACAAGCACTTCCCAGGACCCCACAGGTGTAGACAGCACCATGGAGCTGCCCAATCCTTCCCTATCTCCTTCTCACCTGGTCTTACTATCTACCCTGGTAATCGGGCCCCTCATCTGGAAGTCAATTCTGTCTTTCCTTCCCACACACACTATCAGCAAGCTCTCTTAGATTGTTCTCTAAACACACAGCACCAGGCCACTTTTTACCTCTCCATGGCTCCCACCATCTCCTCCTGCATCTGCCCCAACAGCAGCCTGAGAGGTCATATAAAGATGCCTGTAATCACAACTACTGGAGAGGCAGAGATGGGAAGCATCACCCTTCAAGTCCAGCCAAGCAAAAAGTTAAGACCCTGGAAAGAGATTCCAAGATGGCGGCTAGAGGGAGGAAGCAGAAAGCGTGCTTCCTAAAATAAAATCTTGGAGAGATGCTGGAGATACACCTTACAGGAAAAACCACTGAGAAGAGGCAGAACTTTGACTCCTCCACACCTCCAGCCTGCACAGAGCATCTCCACTTCACGTTAAACTGAGAAACCAGGAGGGCTCCTGCGCCACCACCAGACAGCAGCGCACAGATGGCTTGGGAAGACACGGACCACAAGGTGAGCTAAGCGGCACGCGGTACTCCCACAGACAACCCTGGGTCAGATCAGCACAGCCCCCTGGACAGACCGACCCCACCCAGGGAAAAAAAAACTGAATAATAAGCAATAACAATAAAAAAGACAGGTAGCAAAGAGGGCGGGGAGCCCTGAGCGCCAAAGAGAGGGGGAGGGGAAATTCCTCACAAGCCGGCTGGAGAAGGCAGGGGTGGTGGCACACACCCAGCAACCAGGAGCGGGAAAGCTTGTAAAAGTGGCAGAGGGAGGAAAACTCCACAGGAAAGGGGGAAAGACCCACTTCCCACATGAACTGTAAACACACAGGCCTGAGAAAGCGGGTGCAGTGTCACCTCCCCAAGTGTGCTTGGAAAGGGGAAAGCTTGTAGCAGAGGCTCACACACAGGAGAACTCTGAGTAAACAAAGCCTGCGGGGCCAGGTGAGTGTTAAGCTCACTCCTGAGATCTGCATGAATAAAGCCTCCAGCAACAGCAGGCTGACAGCAGCGGGCAGGTGAGCTACAGCCTCAGATAGTCATTCTCAGAACTGTCTCCAGACACTTTTTCTCTCTCCCTACCTTTGATGAGACAACAACCGAACTACACCTGCATGCTGAAAACCTTACTGAAACTGTATTGCATTTGAACTTGGGACATTTTGTGGTGTTTTTTTTTGTTTGTTTTGTTTTGTTTTAGTTTTTTTCCCCTTTGATGAGACAACGACAGAACTACTTCTGAGACACCATCTCCAGGATTGGAGACTGAGGGACTAACACCAAAATTATTAAGACTGAAACTTTATTGCATTTGAACTTGGAGATATTTTTTTTTCACTTATTTATATTTTATTTTTATTTTTATTATTATTTTTTATTTTTTATTTTCAATCCTCTCTCTGTCTCTCTAATGCCTGTTCAGCTTACTGTTGATTAGTACACTATCTCTCCCTGTTTATATCTTTGAAACTTTTTTGATACTACAGGTACTCAGTGAGAATTTTATAGAGATGATACTGATAGGGTCAACCAAAATGTACAGGAGACGACTCAAGAAATTCCAAGACAACAACAATACGAGAATTTGAAAAAGCAACAAGAAGAAATAAAAGAAACCATAGAAGCAACTGTATAAACACCAAAGTGAAACATAAGAACACGAATTACTCCAGAATAAGTGAACTCAGGACAAAAATAGACAACATTAAAGAGGAAGTGACTCAAAGGATATGGAAAACCCCTTCAGAAAAGAAGAACGAAAACAGAATGCAAAACAAAATGGAAGGCCAATCAGCAGAATAGAACAAACAGCAAGACAGAAGTCTCAGAACTCGAAGATGAAAAGTAATTAAAGGACAAACTGAAGAACTATTAATTAAAACAACTCAAGACCTTGAAAAGAAAATGCAAAGAACTCACCGACTCCATCAAAAGACCAAACTTAGAATCATGGGCATCGAAGAAGGGCGAGGAGGTGCAAGCAATGGAAATGCCGTCATATATTCAAACGAAATAATAACGGAAAATTTCCCAATCTAGAGAAAGCTTATTCCCATACAGATGCCAAGAGCCTCCAGCACACCAAACAGACCAGATAAAATAGAACTCCCAGGCGTTATCATCATTAAGAACAGAGTTAGAAATTAGGGAAAGAATATTGAAATGCTGTAAGAAGAAAAAACAAAATAACAATACAAAGGTAAACCCATCAAAATCACGATAACCTGACTTCAAAACCTAGATTACAAGCAATGAACAATAAAAACAGCATGGTACTGGCACAAAAACAGACATAGAAGACCAGTGGAACAGAATAGAGGACCCAGATATGAAGCCACACAAACTATAACCAACTTGTCTTTGACAAAGGAGCTAAAAATATACGATGGAGAAATAGCAGCCTCTTCAACAAACTGCTGGGAAAACTGGTTAGCAGTCTGCAAAAAACTGAAACTAGATCCATGTATATCACCCTATACCAATTATTACTCAAAATGGATCAAGGATCTTAATATCAGACCCCAAACTCTAAAGTGTACAGGAAAGAGTAGGAAATACTCTGGAGTTAGTAGGTATAGGTAAAACTTTCTCAATGGAAACCCAGCAGCACAGCAACTAAGAGATAGCATAGATAATGGGACTTCATAAAACTAAAAAGCTTCTGTTCATCAAAAGAAATGGTCTCTAAACTGAAGAGAAACCACAGAGTGGGAGAAAATATTGCCAGCTACACATCAGACAAAGGACTAATAACCAGAATATATAGGGAACTTAAAAAACTAAATTCTCCCAAAACTAATGAACCAATAAAGAAATGGGCAAGTGAACTAAACAGAACTTTCTCAAAAGAAGAAATTCAAATGTCCAAAAAACACATGAAAAAATGCTCACCATCTCTAGCAATAAAGGAAATGCAAATTAAAACCAAGCTAAGTTTCCACCTCACCCCTGTTAGAATAGCCATCATCAGCAACACCACCAACAACAGGTGTTGGCGAGGATGCGGGGAAAAAGGAACCCTCTTACACTGTTGGTGGGAATGTAAACTAGTACAACCACTCTGGAAAAAAATTTGGAGGCTACTTAAAAAGCTAAACATTGATCTACCATATGATCCAGCAATACCACTCTTGGGGTTATACCCAAAAGACTGTGACACAGGTTACTCCAGAGGCACCTGCACACCCATGTTTATTGCAACACTATTCACAATAGCCAAGTTATGGAAACAGCCAAGATGCCCCACTATTGATGAATGGATCAAGAAAATGTGGTATCTATACACAATGGAATTTTATGCAGCCATGAAGAAGAACGAAATGTTATCATTCACTGGTAAATGGATGGAATTGGAGAACATCATTCTAAGTGAGGTTAGCCTGGCCCAAAAGACCAAAAATCATATGTTCTCTGTCATATGTGGACATTAGATCAAGGGCAGACACAACAAGGAGATTGGACTTTGAGCACATGATAAAAGCGAGAGCACACAAGGGAGGGGTGAGGATAGGTAAGACGCCTAAAAAACTAGCTAGCATTTGTTGCCCTTAACGCAGCGAAATTAAAGCAGATACTTTAAAGCAACTGAGGCCAATAGGAAAAGGGGACCAGGAACTAGAGAAAAGGTTAGATCAAGAAGAATTAACCTAGAAGGTAACACACATGCACAGGAAATTAATGTGAGTCAACTCCCTGTATAGCTATCCTTATCTCAACCAGCAAAAACCCTTGTTCCTTCCTATTATTGCTTATACTCTCTCTACAACAAAATTAGAAATAAGGGCAAAATAGTTTCTGTGGGCATCGAGGGAGTTGGGGGGAGAGGGAGGGGTGGGGGGCAAGGGAGGGGGTAGGGTGGTAAATGACCCAAACATTGTATGCACATAAGAATAAAAAAAAAAAGTAAGACCCTTCTCCTCAACGAACAAGCCAGGCATGGTGGCTCCTCATCTGTAATCCCAGCGAGTTGGGAGGCAGAGATGAGGAGGACTGCAGTGTAAAAGCACCCTCAGAAAAGCCTGAGACCATATCCAAAAAAATAACAAGCAAACAAAAGCTGGGACTGACTTGAGTGGCAGAGTATGTGCATGTGGTGTGACCTCTGCTCTTCACTCAGGACAGAGTCCCCAAGTAGAACTCCCCAGCATGCCAGCTGAGGCAGCCCCTCTTGAGTTCCTATTGCTTGGCCTGCTTTGCTGTCCTTCAAAGTTCTGGCCACCGACCACGGTGTCTTTTACCCTTTGACCATTTGCCCTGTTGTAATGTCATCTCTACAAGCACAGGCGCCCTGTGTTCCCACTTCTGTACCCGCAGTCCAGGGCAGAACCTGATACACAGTAGGCATCAAGCAATCATGTTGGATGAATGAAAGACAACCCCAGTGACCACATCCCAACAGAACAAGCAGCTAGCGTGGAGGAGAGTCCTGGCCTTGCTATCTGTCTCTTAGTTCTAGACAGGGCCGCTGTGTGTTCTCTCTCCGGCAGAATTATTCTGGGAGTGGGAGTGAGTCCAGTCTGGCTGGGCATGTACACTCAAGGGGAAGCACCAGGGAGAGAGCAGTTGAGACCTGGTTCCATCAGATAAAAACCATTCATCTAGGCAGACTGCTGGGTGTGATGGAAGTCACGTCATCTTGGAACCAGGGAATCACGATAGGGTTCCTTCCTGCTCAGCCTCCCAGCTCTGCTGCCTCCAGAGCTTTCCATTGTCCCTCACATTCCCACGCCTGCCAGGGTCACCCTCCACCTCTTTTCCTTCAAATGGGATTGTTTGCCCACGGCAGGCCTCACAGAGTCAGCAGGGTCAACAAGGCCCTAGGTGAACTTCCCCTCCCTCCTCCTTGGGGCTAGGAGCCATGTGATGGAAGGATCTGCAGGAAGGAGATGGGACATAGGAACTGCTTAAAAATGAGAACTTTGCTGGCGGTGGCTCATGCCTATTATCCTTGCTACTTAGGAGGAGAAATCAGGGGGATCAAGGTTCAAAGCCAGTCCAGCCAAATAGTTTGAGAGACCGTATCTCAAAAAAACCAGTACAAAACAGGATTGGTGGAGTGGGTTAACTGGCAGAGTGCCTGCCAAGCAAGCATGAGGTTCTGAGTTCAAGCCCCAGTACCACCAAAAAAAAAGAGAGAGAGAGAATTTTGTCATATGAATGTATGAAAATACAGTGATGAAACCTGTTCAAAATTGTTTAGGAGAGCAGAATAAAAATGTAATAGGGGTGAATTTGATCAAAGTCCTTTATATGCAGTATGTAAATATCACAATGAAATCCTTTGTACAATGAATATACACTAGAGAGAGGGAAAAAAAAGTAAAATGAATGATAATTTTGGCTTGTTGAGTAGGTCCATGCCTGTAATCCCAGCTACTCGGGAAGCATAGACAGCAAGTTTCATGCCAGCCTGAAGAAAGTTAGCAAGACCCTATCTCAGATACAAAATACAAAAGACTGGGGGTGTGGTTCCAGCTCAGTCTCAGAGTGTTTACTCAGCATGCATGACGCCCTCGGTTTGTTCCCCAGTAATGAAAACAAATTTAGAAAGCAAATCTAATGTGAAACTACAGTGTCCTGAAGGGGCCGGAGGTGTGGCTCGAAGTGATAGAGTGAGGCCCTAAGTCCTAAATTCAAACCCCAGGACTGCCAAAACCACAAAAACAAACAAACAAACAAAACCTCATTTCTTGTCATTTCTTGCTGGGGATGTAGCTCAGTGGTTAAGTGCCTAGCATGCACAAAGCCCTGGGTTCAATCCCTAGCACCACAAAAAAAGAGAAAGAGAGAGAGAGAGAGAGAGAGAGAGAGAGAGAGAGAGAGAGAGAGAGAGAAGAAAAAAATCCTTCAATGTTATCTATGTCATGAATGAAAGTATTCCAAGAATATTTAGAAGCCCGAGTAAAATACCAATGGGGGAAGAGTGAGTTGTGTGTTAAAATCTTAGCACTTTCCTTGTGTTGACATTTTCACCTTATCAGCTTTTCCTGTCTTACACCCATAACTCAACTTACCCAATGCTCACTGCTCCCCAGCACCCTCAGGGAGAGCTACTGTTCCCAGCCTCCTGCCAGTCTCTTGGTAGGGCCACTCGGCCTTGAGAGGATCATTTTGAGTGAAGAGATAAACACTGAAGCCACATCAGCTGATGGGCATGAGCTTATGTCCCCATACCTAATAATGACAGCCGAGGCCCTGGTTTTTCAAATCTTGATACACATCATCACAAATCCTTCTAACGGCCAGCAGAGCAGCTCTGGTCAACCCTTTTTATAGATGAGCGAACCAAGGCTTCCAAGGGGAAGGTCACCTGGCTAAGACAACCCCTGCCAATCTGACCAGAGTCCTGTCTCTTTCCTGCCCTGGCAGAGCCAACAATATTAATGGGTGAGGATGGGTGGCAGTGCGGAGGATAGACTCAGAGCCAACCATGAGCTCCTTCCTGAGCTCAGTGTAGCAACAGGCACCAGCCCGACTGCGGCTCATCTCCCTTGTCCTCCTGCAGGCCCTTGGAGTGGAGCTCTGTCCCTTCTGATCCTGCAGTCAAGTGCTGGCTAGATGAGTAGGTGGAGGTTCTACCTGAACCCGTCAGAGGGTACACTTGTCTTAGAGGACAGACAGGCTGTGCCTCCTACGAGCCAAATATGGTACCCCAGCCAGGGCCCTGCTTCCTGCTTCTGCTTCTGTTGTGGCCAGAACGATCTCAGAGCCACTCAACAGGGGACTTCCCCAGGCCTCCTCCAGCTGGGGTGTGGAGGGCAGAGGGTGTGAGGTAGCCACACCCAAGTGGGCCAAGGAAACAGGTCAGGTCAGAGTCCACAGCGGGCTTCTCACTCATAGGTTAGTGACCCTCCTTCTGTCCTTGATTTGAGCAAATAATGGAACGCCATGGCAGGACCTCCATGTCAAAAAGAGGAAGATGGCCTACACGTCCCTCATAGCTATGTCCCTGCAGATAAGGGGAAGATGCTGTGACACATGCAAGGGCTGCCAGCAACCAGGCTGCAAAATTAGCAGTCTGTGGCCAGCTCTGACCCTGGAGGTCCTAAGTAACCAAATTGGCCTGAGCCAACCAAACTTGTTTGAGTCCCCCACCTCTCGGGCTCCAGCTCTGTTAAGCTGCATCTTTCTTCTCTGCCCCTCAAAGACCAGGTTTGGCCTTGGTGATGCAGGTAGCTCCCCACATCCAACACTACCCATGATTCCACACTTGTGACTACAGACCCCGAGCGACTGTCTCCACTACACCCCGGCTGTGTCCTGAAAACTGCGCTGTGTATCAAATATAGAACACATGGACTACTCCATGTGGCTGTGGCTCTGATCTAAGTAAGTGCAAGCAGCTCTGAGACACAACAGCACGGAAAGGGTCCCCCAACTTTGTAGCCAGGTGGCAGCTCACCTAGGTGTCCTTTGATATCAGAACAGAGACCCAGTATCCACCTCTAGATGTAAACAGAAAGGGGTAGATTGGGAGCTCATCCTAGAGCCTCCTGTGGCTCCAGCATCCTGCTACAGCCCTTCTCCCTACCCTAGGCCACACACTCACAGCCCTTCTCCCTACCCTAGGCCACACACTCACAGCCCTTCTCCCTACCCTAGGCCACACACTCACAGCCCTTCTCCCTACCCTAGGCCACACACTCACAGCCCTTCTCCCTACCCTAGGCCAGTCTTTGTGTTCAGCATAGGCATGGCCACTGGAGGGCGCACTCACCCCATCTGAACCACAGGGCCACTTACATACGCTGGAATGAACGAACACTTATTTAGGCTCTCAGGACTTTGCTAGAGGCCAGAAATGAACTAGGCCTGCCATAGGTTCTCTGCCCTCAAGACCAATACATAACAGAGAGTGCTGCCTGCCTCTCCCTGGGAAGGTAGGGCAGGGCATTTGAGAAGGGTTTAAAGGGGCAGAAGAGCTGCCCCTGCTCTCTGGGGAGGACCAGGTCCCTGTTCAGTGACCATGTTCAGAAGTTTGTGACCAAAACTGCCCTTCACAAAGCACCTTTGTGCTGTGGGCCCCGTTAATTTCCCACAACCCACCTCGACTTGCTCTTCACTTTATAGAGGCCTAGAGGACTCTCCTTTCTCTCCTCCCACCCATGCATTCAAGGTGCTCAGGCTAGGAATCTGGTCCTTTATTGAGTACCTGCTGTATGTGGGTGGGGGGGAGCAAAGCAGTGGAGTAGTGGGGTGAGGCAGGTCGGGCACTGCAGGTGGTCAAGTGTGGAGGTGTGGCTGCGCCCAACTATTGCTTCCTCTGGGCTATTCAGCCGTGGGTCCCTGGCAGAAGTTTCTGTTGTAGAAGTGGCGGTTGTCCCTGGTCAGGGCTATGACCAGTTGGGCCCAGAAGCTGCCCTGACCACTGGGCTGGTGGGGCCAGAAGAGGACACTCTGGCGACAGAGGCGCTGGCGCAACCGCACATAGCGGGAGCGGTGAGCATCGGGCCGCAGGATCACCAGCACCACGACGTCCTTGCGGTCCTCCAGCAGGCGCTGCTGGGCCAGCAGGAAGCTGGTCCTCAAGAGACCGCTGACCCGGTCCGTGTGGGCCAGCACAAAGAGTGTCTTGCGGCTGCTGTAGATGGAGGCCCAGAGGTTCTCAAAGAGTGTCTTGCCGGGCAGCCAGTCCCTCTCCTCCAGGCACAGGTGCAGCGCGCGGCGCCCGTGGCGCTCCTCTAGCCGAACCCGTAGTTCATTGTACACCCAGTCGGCCACTGCACTCTGTGCCTTGTCAAAGACCACAAAGGCATCATAGGGCAGGACACGGGCACTGCACCGTCCCCGCCGGGGAAGCCAAGCCAGGCACAGGTGGAAGCAGTACCAGAGGTCCCAGCCACAGAGATGCTGCAGCACAGGCACAACCAGGGCCAGAGCCACAGCCAGCAGGGAGACGCCAAAGCAGTCCCAAGAGAGGGCCTCATCTAGGCAGAGGCGCAGGTCCTGCTCGAAGATGCTCCGGTCCTGCAGCTGGCCCGGGCTGCCACACCTCACTTGGCTGGGCAGGCCAGGCACAGCAGTTTGGACCTCCAGTAGGAAGTCCACGAAAGCCGCCCCACAGGCGCAATGCAGGGGGTTGGCACGCACGTCGAGTATTTTCAGGGCTCCGGCCAGGGGCCCAAACCAGGAGGGCTCAAGCGTCTTGAGATCATTGCTGCTGAGGTTGAGTTCTCGCAGTTCCAAAGCCAGGACAAAAAAGCCTGGTGCCACTGAGCTGATGCTGTTGCTGCTGACATCCAGTCTTTGGAGCCGTGTGCCATTGGGTAGGCTGCCATTAGACAAGGCCTTCAGCTGGTTTCCTGCCAGGTCCAGGGCTTCCAGGTTGGGCAGGAGGGCCAGGCCACTCCAGTTGAAGAAGGCCAGATAATTATCACGGAGATACAGAAGCTGTAGGCTCTTGGGGAGGCTGTCCAGCGTACGGGGCAGGAGCGTGTGCAGGCGGTTCTGGGACAGGTCCAAGCGGAGCAGGCCTCTCAGGCCTTGGAAGAAGTGGAGGTAGAGGTCCCCTTCAGCCCACATCCGGCTCACGGCATTGCCGCTGAAGTCCAAGGATTGCAGCGAGGTGCTGCAGAGCTGTGGGGACACCCGGCTGTGAATGCCATTGTGCGCCAGGCTGAGGTGACGCAGGGTGGGCAGCTGGGCTACAAAGCTGAGGTTGTGACCCACACCCTGCATGCCAAAGGCCTGGCTGTTATAGCTGAGGTCCAGGGCTTCCAGTCGCGGCAGCTCTGTGAATGAGCGCCCATGGTACAGGTCTAGCTTGTTATAGGACAGGTCCAGAACCCGCAGACTGGTCAGTGGCAGGAACTGGGAACCATTGACAGCCTGTGCGATGCTGTTATGACTCAGGCTCAGGCACTGGAGGCGTGAGAGGTTGACAAACATCTCTGGCTGAATGGTGACCAGGTTGTTCCGAGACAGATCCAAGGTGAACTTGAAGCTCTTGCAGTTGGGCATGAAATCTTTAGAGCTTGGGATGTCTAGTGGGGCTGGAGTAAGCTCGCCAGACCACAGCCGCACCTGCTCCTCGCCATCTGGCTCCCCAGTGGAGGCCGCCATCTTTGACGCTCCGCTGATGCGGTTGTCTGACAGGTCCACCAGGCGCAGGCCGGGGAAGGGGCCGAAGATGCTGAGCTGGGCCTGGTTGATGAAGTTCATCTGCAGACTCAGAGTCCTGAGCAGGGGCAGATGCGCCAGCGGCTTGAGCGTTTTCTCGTTGAGCGAGCGGAAGAAGATACCGTTCATGTTCAGCTCCTGCAATGACATCAGGCTCCCGAAGGAGGGCGCCAGCCGCAGCTGGGCAAAGGACACTCTTTTGCGGTAATTGAAGGACAGATTGAGCTTGCTAAGCCGTGCCATGCCCTGGAAGGCTAAGGTTTTGGTGATACACTCGTAGAGGAAGTTCTCACTCAGGTCCAGCACCGAGAGGTTGCTCAGACCTTGGAACCACATGGAGTTCAGTGTGTAGAGAGAACTGTCCTTCAACACCAGGCCTTCAAGGTGGATCAGGTGGCTGAAGGTATTAGGGTGCAGATGGAGAGAATGCAGAGGACACTCCACACAGGGGTTGCGAGCGTGGTCACAGCGGCGACAATTCCCACCCACATCAAGAACACGCAGTTCAGTCAGATTGGCCAGGTCCCCAGGTGTCAGATTGACAATGTGGTTGTAAGACAACAGCAGATACTCCAGGCTGGGGGGCAGATTACGAGGCACCACTGTGAGGTTGTTGTACTTGAGTGACAGGTGAGTGAGGTTACGCAGGCCGAGGAGGGCGCCCGGGGCCACCTCCAGTGCCCGATTGCAGGGGTTCTTGTAGTAGCAGTTGCCATCCATGAAAAGGAAGCGTAGAGCACGTAGGCCAGAGAGACTGGTGGAGTCTAGGACCAGGATGTTGGTGTGGCTCAAGGTCAGGTTCACCAGGGAGCTGGGCAGGGCAGGCACCGAGGTGATGCTGTTGTAACTCAGGTTCAGCTCTTCCAGGGTGGGGAGGGCCAGGAAGGTGTTGGGCTCGATGGTCATGTGGCAGGGATAGTGCATGGGGCTGAGGCTGATCGGTGGGCAATTCCATTTGAGGTTGAGTCGCCGCAGGCTGGTAAAGTGGGTGAAGTCGTAGTTGTGCAGATGGTGGATGCGGTTGGAGAGCAAGGAAAGGCTGGTGACATTGCCACGGGGCGCCGCTGGGGAGAAGCGGGGCACGGACTTCAGGAACAGCCAGTTGCAATTCACCAGGCCATGGGGCTGGAGCTCACAGGGCAGGAAGGCAGGCAGGGCACCTAGGGCCAGGGCCTCTGCTAGTGCTGCAGCCTGTACCAGGAGAGACAGGGGGTGCAGGGGCCTGCAGTGGGAGCCCTGTGGGGGTTGGAAGGCTGTGTGAGTGCCCGGCCCAGTTCAACCTTCACCCACACCACCTCATGGGGTCTTCTAGCAGATCTTTCTTCCACCATCGCTCCTCTAACTGAGCCTCCTTAGAGGGTGGGAAGGAACCCCCTTCCCACCCTCTAAGGCCCATTGGGAACCTCAACTTGATCTCAGGCCCAGCCATTGACCCAGAACCAGGATTGAGCCTGGAACCTAGACTCCTTATTCAGAGCTTTCACTCAGAACCGAGCCCCAGCCAGACAGCAGGGCAGGGAAAGGGGCCAGTGGGTCCAGTGTGCCTCTCCCACTTTCCCTTCCTCTCCACAGGGCTGCCTCTCCTTCCTCATGGCCTCCCTAAAGTCCCCTCTCTGTATCCCAGCCAGCCTCCCCAGCACCTCCCCTTCCCTGGCCAGCAAAGTGCCTGACCCACCATTGACTGAAGTCCCAGCAGGCTTGGTCTCACTGCTCAGTGGGGCTTCTGCTCTGATATCTTCAAGGTCAGTGCATGTCCCCAGAGCCTCAAAGGCGACTGTCCCTTTCACTGTTGCCCTCAGCTGCTAAGCCTCCTTCCCTTCTTACGCTTTCTTGGGCTAGTCCCCTTTCCCAGGCAGCTGTCCTACCATGTTGGGACCTGGAGGCCTCTCCCGAGAGTCTGTCCACAGACCGGGCAGCAGTTATAGAGAAGGATATCCACACTCGGGGTCCCACAGAGAAGAGAGGAAGTGAGACTTTGTGCCCTATAGCTCTCTCCCTCGCCCCCACCCCACTGTGGGGAGGGCAGGTGGTGTGCAATGAGTCAGAGGTCATTTGCATAGTCAGATGGCAGACAGCCCCTTCACCCCTTCCTCTTTCCATTCACTCCTCAGACAGCCTATGAGGGCCTCACTTCTGTCTGGGAAGCCTCCAGGGGAGCAAAGGCCCAGAGCCCAGCCCAAGGTGAATGAGATCAGAATTTGAAGTAGCACATGGGCAGGGCAGGCACGCTGTCACCCATGCCAGGCCCTCCCCTGTCCCAAGAGGACTCTCTAACCCTCCTGCCTCAGCACTGCTCCAAGTTGGTACTCTCAGGACAATGGTTTTCCATCTGCCCTTTTCTGTCCCCAAAGGCTCCATCCCCAGAGCTCCATGGGGCCTCTTTGTGCCCAGGGGAGGGCAGTGTGAGCCCAAGGCTGGGGCTCCACCTATCTTCACTGCTACAGCCCTCCTCTGCATTTCCAGTTCCCCTGATGTCCCATCAGAAGTCAAACCACAGCCCCGGGCCAGAGCTCCTGGGTTGGGTGTGCGGTGGCCCAGCTGGGACCTTGGCTGATCTCCACCCAGTCCTGTTTCTGGCTCAGATGACTGGAACTCAAACTCCACAGGCCTAAAGCCTCAGGGACCCTGGCAGCCCCACTCAAGTCCTGCCTTCCCTTTCAGAAACTGCCTGTAGTCTATTCACACTCAGCCCCCGGAGGGCCCTGTTCAGACCTTGTGTTGGGCCCCTCCTCTCTCCAGCTGTTCTGGAGCCATAGCCACACAGTCCACACAGTGGCCAAGATCCTTTGGGACCTGTTCTTCTACTTCTTTTTTTTTGGTGGGATTGGGGTTTGAACTCAGAGATTTCAGCTTGCAAAGTAGGTATTATACTGCTTGAATGATACCTCCAGTCCATTTTGCTATGGTTTTTGAAGATAGATTATTGACCAAGCTGGCCTCAAACCTGGATCCATCTGATCTCAGCCTCTTACAGGTGTGAGCCACCAGCACTTGGCTCCCTTCCACTTCTCTGACCTCCCATGACACTGGGACATACCTATGCACTCCCCTACCTCAGGGCTTTTGAATAAGCTATCCCCCTCTGGCTAAAAACTCTTTACAAACTCTCACATAGCCCCGTCCTAACATTCTTTATTAAGTCTCTATGCATGTCACCACCTTTGTGAGGCCTTCCCTGATCTTATCAACCAGACCAGTCAGGCATGGCAGCTGATGCCTGTAATACCAGCACTTGGGTGACTGAGGTAGGATTTAGGGTTGGAGGCCAGCCTGGGCTATAGAGTTAAGATTCTGTCTCAAAACAAGTAAGATAGATCTACAGACTGCCTCCAACCAAGATCTGCCTCTTCCCAGCCCCTTGCCTTTTTGTTTTTAGCTGCTGATTTCCACACTGTCCACTCTTCATGGTTTGTTCTATGTTGTAACTTATTCTCCTTCTGTAATGTCAGCTTGAGGGCAAGACCCAGCATTGACAGTATAGTGTCCAGCACACAGTAGGTACTAAATATTTGCTGAAGTTTTGTTTCCTAGCTGTCAGCTCATGGCAGGCACTGAGGATGTCTGAATAAAGGTTGAATTTTTTTTAGGTACTGGGGTTTGAACTCAGGGCCTATACCTTGAGCCACTCCACCAGTCCTTCTTTGTGATGGGTTTTTTCAAGGTAAGAGTCTTGCCCAAGCTGTCTTTGAACCTCGATTCTCCCGATCTTTTTCTGAGTAGTTAGGATTAGAGGTTACTGGTACAGCTTGAATGAGTGAATGAATGATGGTACTTCTTCTGGGACAGGCAGGGATGCAGCCTGCCTCCTCTGGGTAGGTCTCATGGTAGGCAGAGGATGGGGGGAGTTGTGAAGGCTCCATGTTACCCAACAAGGACCCCCCAAAGTATGACTGGCTGGCAGGCAGAAGCCTGTCTGATCCCCCCTTCCCCCAGCCAGGAGTGCTGGGACTCCTGGCAGGCCAAGACTCCTCCCTTCTGACCTGGAGAATAGCTGTGTGCATAGGGCCACCCAATTCCCAGGGACGGAGGTGGCTCCTCAGGGCCTGGCTTGAGTGTTGATTTAAAAATATTTTATTCTTTAGAAAATACAGCATTCAACCATCCTTTTCTTCAATAACCTGCCCCAGCCCCACCCCATCCCACCCACTGTGGCCAAAGGCTTCTGGGCTGTGCTGGGACCCCAGTCTCAGATCCTCTGAAGGCCGGGTTCATGCCAGGTCTTTGAGCCAGCCAGGCAGGGCCCCCAGACACCCTGGGCACACATGACAGGCAGGGACAGCAATAGGGAAAGGTCACAAAGTGCTGGCCCAGTGGCCCTTGGAAGCTGCAAGTGTGTTCAGCCACCAGCCCTCCAGCTTCACAGGAAGTACTTCCCGGAGCCCAAGCTGGAAAGGAAGGAGGAGCACGAGCAGTTGGGCAGCAGTTCCACAGTCCACACTCCTCCTGCCTGGCTCCAGCCCAGACTCCTAGCTGTCATCCTCATTCTCTCCTGGGCCCCGGATGAGGCGCTTGTGGCCCCGCTTGCCCCCTGGGCCCTTGGGCTTGGCAAAGGCCTGCTTGAAGGCGTGTTGCTTGGGGTGCACCTCATCGTAGAGGAATTCGGCCGTCAGCTCTGCCCCGTCGCCAACCTCAATCTGCATGGGCCAAAACAGAAATCACCGCAGTGGTGAGAGCTCAAACATATGTAACTCTTGATCATGACCATTCATGAGGCACCCCTTTGATCTCTCACACCACGGCCTTGGGGGTCTTTTCTCATATCCCCACGACACAACCTGGGGCCTGCTACCTTGCTTGCCTGGGTCACCCTCTACTCACCCTCCAGACCCAGGGAAAGGAAGAGATATGGCAGCCAAGTCTTGAACTTGTCTGTGCTACCTGTGGGCAGCCTTGGACCTCGGTTCCCATCCACCCAATATGGCAGTGAGTCCTGCTCTGCCATTGGCTCAGGACTCCCAATGTCCCATACGGAGGGTGAGGTGAGGGCCTTGGGGACCAGCAGGTACCTTCTTAGAGATCTCTAGCTGGAAGTCCTGTTCTACAGAGTCGAGGAGGCGGCTCTTGCAGCTGGAGTAGAGCATGCGCTCCTTGATACTGCACTTGTACCCCGGCATGGAGTAGATGAACACTGTGGAGGACAGGAGGTGAGCCCTGCAGACCTCCCCCACCGCACAGAGTCCACGATGGGCCAGTGCTGCTCCTGCCTGGCATAGACTCAGTACCCCGGCATGGAGTAGATGAACACTGTGGAGGACAGGAGGTGAGCCCTGCAGACCTCCCCCACCGCACAGAGTCCACGATGGGCCAGTGCTGCTCCTGCCTGGCATAGACTCAGCACCCCCAGCCTTGTGGCCACTCACCCACAGACTCGAGGGGGTCACCCTCATGGGTGTGCTTGTAGAGGAAGAAGTGGTAGCGGGCAGCATCTCGGGGCACCCGTGAGGGCAGCTGAGCCACATCCGTGGGCTCTGTGTGCACCAGCTCGATGGTCTCCCGTTCCAGGTCCAGCTTCTGGTGAGGGGGCGATCAGGGAGATGTAAGGGACCCATGCTACCCAACAGGACTCCCCCAAATTCTCTCCCTGGTACTCCGCTCCCCAGAGCTGTCATCTTTCCATGGAGACTTTCTGAAGAGGCATGCCTACAGCCCTGCTAGAGAACACCCACCAAGGGCAGTGGATGGGGCGGTGTGGAGGGCCTTGACCACCCCTAGGGGGAAGTGCCTTCGAAGGGAAGAGTCACTCTGCCAAAAAGTGGGCAGCCTAGCCCCCTGGTGCAAAAGGACCCTGCCTGGAGAAAGGGGGTAGTTAAGGGGTTACAGAGAGAGTCTAGGACAGGAAAGCTCACAGCTGAGGCGCCCACGTGAACCAAGGGGTGGGTCCATAGGAGGGCAGATGCTAAGAGCGTGTTCACGGGGTGGCCGTATGGGCAGGACTGGGGAGAGAGTACCCAACACAGGAGCAGGGAGGAATGGGGTGACAGTATGTGCCCATGAGCACTCCTGAGGGTGGTGGGGACAGGGGCTCTAGGACACGTGGAGGGCAGGATGGGGTTGGGCACGCTGGGCCCCACATGCCTGAGGACAGGATGGCACACCCACCAGCTGGATGTAGTTAACCATCTTCTGTTTGAGCTGCTGAAGTGCCCGCTGAGCCTCAGGCTGCAGGGGGAACGCGAGGCCCTGAAGGGTCTGGTGCTTGCTTTCGACACTGATCTCTGTCTTCACCTGAGAGGAAGGGCATTGGTGAGGGAGCCACTCACCTGCCTAGACCAGGGTGTGGCTGACCGAGAAGCGAGAGCTTCCTGCACCTGCTACCCAGCACACCCACCTCGTTGATACGGATCTGCTGAAGCTCTCTCTCGGCCGAGGTCAGTGGGGCAGGTGCAGCACAGGATGACAGGTGCTTCTGGTATCCGGCAAAGGAGAGGTCGTCCTGGGGACCAGATTCAGAGGCACAAATGGGCACCTCAACTTGCTCCTGGGCTCCCAGCCTCCCATTTCACCCTGGAACCTGTCCTTACTTGCTCTGTGGCCCCGTGCACTGCCTTGCCCTCTGTGTGCTTGTGCTCCTGGTCCCACCCTGGTAGCTACCTTTACTGTCCCGAAAAGCTCATCCTTGATGTGGCCGCCCCCAAACTCCTTCTTCACTGTGGCCCGTGTGGCCGCGTACAGCATCTTCAGCCGCACCTGAGGGATGGAGGCCAAACTGTGAGACCCTTGTGGGTAGGACTGTGTCTTCAGAAGCAGGCAGGAGCCCTGGGAAGGGACCTGGTCATCCATCTCACTGAGTCTGCATATCCAGCCAAGGGCCCAATGCACAAGTTAGGATGCAGCAAGGTGGCTCCTGCCAGCAGGGGGCGCCCTTGCCCAGCCCAACCTCAGCCTCCAGGAGCCAAGAGGATGCCACCAGCGGGGCTCTAGGGCATGTGTCACAATGACACAGGGCATTGTCGTCTGTCAGTCTTGCTGAGACAGGACCTGTTCTCCCTTAGCCTCCCCGGGGGAAGGGTCTTTTTATCCCACTCAGATCAGGTCCCTATAACTCACAGGGGAATTATCAGGTGACCAGGCGAGGAAGAGCCACTCGAAGCCCTGAGCGTTCTGTGAGTCAAGGCGGAAGAGCAGGTAGCAGGGCTGCTGAGCATCCAGCAGTGGCAGCACAGCCCTGTCGTAATCCTGGTCCCAGCGGCCCACTGGCTCCTGCGAGGCGCCCAGCACGAGCTGCTCTGGGGGCAGAGGCTGGGTAAACTGGGTGATCATCTCCTATACTCCCCCCTCTGACTGTGGACCCTGTCCTCTGCATGTGGCTTTCTGAGCTAGCTCTGTCCTACCAGCCACCCCACCCCACCTTCTCAGGAGTCCCCAAGTTCCTGAAGCCTTAGGTTGTGTTGCTAAATTAGCGTGTGCCAGCTACAGGTTGATTCCTCCACACATCCCACACATGCCAACTTAGGCCGGCACACACAGATCTCTCAACACAAACAAGCCCATGGAGACCCAGTCAGCAACAAGGAAGCCCCTTGTTGACACCCCACACATCGGGGTGTTCACTCTCACCCCACACTACACGCACAGCTGCTCAGTGCACAGTCCCCACTGTGCACCTCCTGCTGCCCTCCTCCCTCAGCCAGGGCTCCAGCAGTGCCCCAGCATGCCCATCTCAGGACAAATGTGCTGCAGGAAGGGGGTGTCACATCCCCAGGGCCTGACAGTGACAGAAGCATCCTGAAAACAAGGACGCAAGGCTCCTGCTAGATACTGTGAACAGCTGTAGCTCCCTCCCTGCAGTCATAAACTGACTTATTTTTTTGAAATAAGGTCTTGCTATATAGCCCAGACTAGCCTTCAACTTGAGGTTCTCATGCCTCAGCCTCCCAAGGGCTGGCATTACAGGCCTGGGCCAGCACACCTGGCTAGCAGCCAACTTTTTTGTGGCAGTAGGGCCTCACACTTGCTAATTAGGCACACACACTACCACTTGAGCCATGCTGCCCGAGCCATTTCTTGCTGTTATTCTTCAAGCAGGGTCTCACGTTTTTGCCAGTGGCCTGCGTCAGCCTGTGATCCTCCTATCTCCCAGAAGAACCTGTTGTCAACATGCCTAGTTTATTGATTGAGATGGGGTCTTGCTAACTTTTTTGCCTGGGCTGGCCTCAAACTGCAATCCTCCCGATCTCCGCCTCCAGAGTTGCTGGGATTAGAGGCATGAGACATGGAGCACCTAGCCTAACAACCAACTTCCTGTTTTTTTTTTTTTTTTTTTTTTGGTACTGGTGTTTGAAATCAGGGCCTACACCTTGAGCCACTCCACCAGCCCTTTTTTGTGATAAGTTTTTTCAAGACAGGGTCTTGTGAGCTATTTGCCCAGGTTGGCTTCGAACCTCAATCTTCCTCATGTCTGACTCCTGACTAGCTAGGGATACATGTGTGATCCACCAATGCTAGGCAACAACCAACCCTTTTTTTGTGATCTTGCAAACTATTTGCCTGGGCTGGCTTTGAATCTCGACTTCCTGATTGAGTTCTGTCTCCTGGGTAGCTAGGATTACAGGCATGAGCCACCTCTGTGGCAGGTACAGAATGGCTGAATAGGGCATCCAGCTATAGCTACAGGTTGAGACCTCAGTTGGACACCAAACACCCACCTGGTGTACACAGGGCAAGGGGGCTAGCTGCCTACAAACCCCAACATGCCAGGTCCTCCAGACTAGCCTCCTTCCCTGCCCGGCCAGAACTCAAAAGGGATCAGGACTGAAAAGCAGCAGCCCCAGGCAGCACGAGCCTCAGAGGCTTTTCTGGCATTATTTACTTTGGTGTTCACAGTTTTAAACCAGGAATTTTATATAAGAAATGGAACCCAGCTGGGTGCCAGTGACTCACGCCTGTAATCCTGGTGGTTTGAAGCCAGCCTGGGCAAACAGTTCGGAGACCCTATCTTGAAAATACCCATCACACACAAAAAAGGGCTGGTGGAGTGGCTCAAGGTGAAGGCCTTGAGTTCAAACCCCTGTATGCAAAAAAAAAAAAAAAAGAAGGAACTCAAAGCTTCAGAAAAATCAAGAGCCCTAGGTCAGACTCAACTGGAGTTCAAAATCATAATGCAGAACTGGGTAAGGCCTGCCTAGAGATTCTTCCTGCTTACATCTACAAGGACATTTTGTCTGGGAGGAGACAAAGAGGGCAGAGGACTGAGGCCAGTGAGTGCCACTGCCTCTTTAAGGGTGGGAGGCTGTGCCTGTTGCCTCAGAAGGCCTTCACTCATGACCTAACATAGTGATCCCTACGACTCTAATACCACTTGAATTTAGGGACCTAGACTAACTTTGGCCCTAAAGCCTGGGGTGAACTCTGGGTCCAGGAAGCCCCTGCTAAAGTGAGCTGGGTCCCAGGACCATTTATGGAGTCCTCACAAGAACCAGCATTGCTACTTACAAGGGCTGAAAGGACTCTGAGGAGCCCAGCCCACCCCACCCCATTCTCAGAGTCTGTGTCTTCATGGTCCAGGCCAAGGCCGGCAGAGCCTGGAACCCCCTTATCCTGCTCTCAGAACAAGCTGGACACAGTCCCTTCTTCCCATTGTGGGGTGCCTCCCACGTGGAGGACTTTAGCATCTCTTTAGGTCTCCCTGTGGCCAGCAACAGAGCCAGGCCAGGCCTGTCACCTATGAACATACACAGCACATGTGTGGCAGCGCCTGGCCTCACTTAGCCCCTGCCCGCCCAGCACAGTGCCCTGACTAGGCCCATCTCAGTACCCACACAGCCTCTGGGGAGGCCGGGCAGGACCCCAGGACAAGGCTCTGCACGGCAGGGTGGTAACCATGTTCACCTCCAATGTGCCCCAGTGAGTCTCTTCCTGAGTGGCCTTGGCTGCACCCCTAGATGGGGAAACTGAGGTCCAGAGGGGGTTCAAAGGCAACACTCACTGCTCCCCACACCCAGAAGCAACTGGGTCCAACGTCCAACCTATGCCCCAGCCCAAAGGGGACACTCACCGTCCTCAATGGTGACTTTGATGAGCCGGATAGAGCCAGCACGTGCCTTAGCAAAGAATTCCTTTAGTTCCTCGGTGGCTACAAGAACAAGAAACATGGTGGGGGTGAGCAGGAAGAGGGGCAGGGACGTGTTTGGGGCTTGCTCTGTCCTACAGGGTCTGACGGCTGAGCTGGGAAGCCGGTTAAATACGCCCCCTACCCCCACCCATGTGACTGGGAACCTGAGATGGCCAGTGAACACAAGCTCCCAAATTTAGCCAGCAGGAGTGGCAGGCGGTGGCCTTTCTGGCTGGGATAGCTCTGGTGATAGGGAGGGGCAGGCAGGGATGGGGTGGGCTCTAGGACAGGCCAGGCCAGCCAGAGTGAGTGACCCCTACCTGTCCTGTGTCCCCATGAAGGTAGAGCAGTGGGCTGGTCTGACACTCTCAGCATAAAGAAACAGAAAAATGCCCCCAGAGTAAATCCATTCACACACACTACACGTGACAACTCATGTTAAATCCACCATGTGTGAATCTAACACACACATGTGTGAGACCAAGGACAGAAAGGCAAATGCCTAGTCTGCCAATCAACCTAAGTGGACACACTTGTTTTAAGATCCTAACACACACACCACAAGATACAATCTCCAGTTTGCTAACACACACACGAGCAGACAACTGGAGAGCTTGGCTAGGACATGTGTACAGGCAAGAGGGTGTACACGGTCACGCACAGTCAAAACACACATGGATGACATGCTGTCAGCATGGTCAGCCCCCAGCACGGCCCTATAGGGACAACAAGCCCCCGACCCTTGGGCAGGAGGGAGAGCTTCCTGGAAGAGGAGTGGCCCTCAGGAAAGAGATTCCGTCTTGGACCCTGGGCCACAGAACTAGAAGGGGACAGCCAATCACCAAGGACCCAAGTGCACAGGTGAGGATCATGGTCAGAGTTGGGGAACCATTCAGATCCACGGGTGGTAGTGGACAGGGAAATCACAGTTCAGGTGGGAGGGCTCTGCTTGGGTCTCTGGGTGATCAGATTCAGGTCAGCACGACCTTGAGGCTGCCCAGGGGTCAGAAGAATCCTGGCAGGAACGCAGCTGGAGCACTGAGGTCACAGAATATTTATAGGGCCTGAATTGAGCAGCTCGTGGTTGAGGGAGGGGGGCTTTAAGTAAATAAACTCTGGTCATGACCTCAGGCGCCCTGTGCAAAGACCTCAGGCTGTGTACTACCCTCCAAGGCCACTGGGTGGCCAGAGGCCCAACTAAGCGCAGCAGGCCACAGAGCTCAGAACAGCACAGTATGGGGCTGCAAACCCACTGGGCCAGGACAGAACTTCTCATCATAGACCCCAGGAATTCCTGGAAGCTTGAAGCCTGGTCACTGGGGTTTTACCTCTCCCTTTACCTAAGTGACCCTTGATCTCTCTGAACACCAACCTCCTCTATAAAATGGAAGTAACACACTCAAACTCGAGGGTATGGCAAAAGAGTAAATGGGAGAAAGTGTTAAGGATAGAGCCTCTGTTAAAAACTAGTTTTACTCCTGCAAGGACGGCAGGCTGGGCTCAGTGGCTCACGCCTGTAATCCTAGGTATTTGGAGGCTGAGATCAGGAGACTCAAGGTTCAAGGCCAGCCTGGGCATATAGTTCAAGAGACCCCCATCTCCAAAATAACAAGAGCAAAATGGACTGGAGGTGTGGCTCAAGTGGTAAAGAGCCTGCTTTGCAAGTTTGAAACCTGTGTTTAAACCCCAGCCCTACTAAAAAAGAAAAAGAAAAAGAAAAAAAGATAGGGCAGGCTGTGCTAAGTTGTCCCCTTCTACCTGCTCAGATCTTGGGGGGAGGCCAAAAAGGCACCCCCAGGGAGAGGCTTACAGCCCCCTTCTAGTGTTACCGGGGCAAACTGACACCCAAGCAGGAGGAAGACATCCCTTCCCGCTCTACCCTTTACGTCCCCAGCTACCATCAATAATCCAGAGGCCAGACCTGGGACACCTGAGCCTCTATCATCAAAGAATCATGACCCTCCCCCCACATTTGCGCACCCTCCCAACTCTAGCAAGCCTTAGGTTACAGTCCCTCCCCTGCCCCACTCTGAGGTCGGCAGCCATACACCTATGTCCAAGACAGAGCTGGCACCTGGTGTTCCAGGGTGATCTCTCCTGCCACCTCTTCAGTTCCAAAATGGAAAGAGGGCTACTCATAGGCAAAAGGAGGACGGGGGTGGGGGTGGGGGTGGGGGGCAGCCCAGTCCCTAGCAATACCCTCTGCAGGCTTGTGTCACTGTTTGGGAAATGATTAAAGGAAGCAGGGTCCTGACTATAGTACCTGTCAGCAGGAGGCAGGAAGGTGGCTAACTTTCCAGGTCTCCTCTCAGCAGGGGGTGGCCGTTCTGACCAAACAAAGGGGAAGGAAGGAAGCGGCAGGCCAGTAGTTCCCCACTTTGGGGCCAGGTCAGGAAGCCCACTTCTCTAGCTCTTGAAGAGCTGGCCCACTTGTAGGGAGGTCAGCCCTGACCCAGGCCTCTCCATTGTCTGGTCCAGCAGGGCGGGAGTAGGGATGGAGACAGGGAAACCCTCTTGGAGCAGTGTAGCCACTAAGTGGCCACAACCACCAAGCTGGGATTCAGATGGTCAGGCAGGTCGATGGTGGGAGCTCTGGGCAGGGGACAGTGATGTGGTAAGAAGAGTGGCTGATAGCCAAACCACCAAGTTGTCTGGGCCTTCCCCACAGGGTAGGCAGCCCTCCCAGGCCAGTGACAGATAGGGACACTGAGACCCCATGGCTTCTCACTCAGCCTGTCCAAGAAGAAAACTACAGCCCCTAAGGAGGGATTATGGGTGTGACACTCTGGGTTGTAGTTGCTTCCTGGTGATGAGTCTGGGGTGTGAGCTGGCCTGGATCTCTAGGACCAGGGACTCCCCCACAAACCCTGTATCTGGACCCTCCTTTCCTGCTTTCAGCCTGGAGTTGGGACTTTCCAACCTTGGCTAGGGCAGACTCCCGATCACAGTGAAACATGGAAGGGAGGTCAGAGGCCAAGGTCAGATGGGCAACTCTTCCCATGCCACTTGAAAGCCCTATCCTAGGTTGTCCTCAGGAGAAGGAGGGTCCTCAGAAGTGCAAGGTCAGGACCCCCTCCTTGCACACATACACAAGCCTGTAGAAGTCATAGAACATCGTGTGCATGCATCCATGGTGCCTGAATTGTGCACACATACCGACACCCACGGACATGTGCACACTGCCATGAGACACTGATGTTTAAGATAGTCCCCCATCACCTACAGGGTCCAAACACTCAGTGTGCACGCACACGAATGACCCCAGATGTGCACACGTCTCCAGATGTGCACATCCGGATACACCCGACGCCCCCCTCCCCCAGAAAGGAACAAAAATACCCAGGCGGGCACACAAGGCACATCCACCCCCAGACGATACACACTGGTACTTCCACCCTAGCTGTGAACCATGCACCCACTCCCGGCTATGCACAGCAAGTCTGTGCTCCCCCGATGTGTCCACCCCAGGCGACTGACGGCTGCAAAGAACAGGAAGCTTCCCCCCATGGTGCGAGGAGGAAGGGACCGCGAGCCGGTGCAGCCGAAAGCAGAGCCCCGGCCCCCCGCCCGCCATCGCCCTCACCGTGGATGCCCGTCTGGTGCGCCATGGCTCGGCGTTCCGCTCGCCCGCGCCGTCGGAGCCCTGCGCTTGGCCCTGGCCGGGCTCCTCTCGCCTGGACCGGGAGGAGGACAAGGATGTGGCAGCGGCTGCCGAGCCTCGCGCAGCTTCCCGGGCGGTGCCGCAGGCCCCGCCCCCAGCGGCGCCCCGCCCCCGACAGGCGAGGCCGGGAGGGGCGGGGACTCGGGCCGCGCGTGCGCACAGCGTGCGCCTTGGTAGGGATGGGAGTGTAGCCGCCGCTGGGTAGTGCGTGGGCGCACGCGCGTGGGCGTTGGTGAGCCTTGAGCTCTTTGATCTGTGGGTGTATCTGCGCCCCCGCCCAGTTAGGTTTGCTAGTAGGGGCAGATCCAAATGTATCCTAGTTTGTGACCTGGGGGTCCGAGTGTGGATGGGCGCGCGTGTTTGTGCGGAACCTCTCCCTCAGAGGACGTGTCTTGGGCGTCTCTAGCCGGGCACTTGGTCACATCGGGCCGGTCATAGACGTCGGGCCTTGTCCTGATTGTGGGCGGCTGGATCGACCTTCTACCAGACAGTAGATAACAGTGTCCACCCAGAGAATGTGACGGGCCATTAGGAGGCGAAGTTTTGGTGGAATCTGGGAGGAGAGACTGGGGTGACCCAGCAGAGCATGTGCAAAGACCCAGAGTTTGAAGGAAGGCCAGAAGTTGGTGAGTCTGAGAAACTTCCCAGACCCTAAAGAATTTGTCTCCTTGCCTTCTGTCATCAGACACAAGGTTGCTACCAGCCAATCAGCATATTGTATTGTTTCCTTGCCACTGTGATCTGTTGAGGCAGGGGTGAGCATCTGATCCCATTCTGTCCAATGACACACTGCCCTAGAACTTTCGATAGGAGGATTGGAAAGGAAGCACCTTTTAGAGGCATGATGATGGAGTATGTGACCTGCCTGTCTCACACACTTCCTATGTGCTGGGCATGTTTATTTAATTCTGACGGCAGTCCCTGAGCTAAGTGACAATTACTGTCTTCGTGTACACATGAAGACTGAGGTTTGGAGAGGTGAAGTTGAGGCAGGCTAGTAATGGGGAAAGAAGAAACCCCTCCTTGTCCCAGCCCAATGAAGCAATGGGGATATGCAAAGAGAACCGAAGATGGAGGATTCTTTAAGGTCTCAGAAAAAGGCAGCATCAGCCTACATTAGAACCAAAAAAGCCCACCAAGGTCGTAGGAGTCACAAGGTGCTTTTGAGTTACCACCCTAGGATGTATCAGCATCACCATCCTGAAATAATAGATGCAAAAAGACTGGAAGGAAAACCATGTTCTGGGAGTAGGGTGGCCAATGATAAACATTGTAGACCCATCCTAACCTGTCCTGCACAGACTGCTCAGACCTCCCCTGACCGCCTGTGGTATATAAATCAACTGTCTATCAAAACTCGGAATTTGGGGGTGGGGTTGGTGGAACTGGAGTTTGAACTTAAAGCTTTGTGTTTGCAAAGCAGTTTCTGTACTGCTTGAGCAACACCTCCAGTCCATTAGAGAGGGGGTCTCCAGAACTATTTGCCTGGGCTGGCCTCCAACTGCAAGTCTCCCAATAGCCTCCCAAACAGCTAGGATCACAGGTGTGAGCCATCACCACTCAGCAAAGCTTGTGATTTTTTGGCTTCTGAGCCATCTGACTGGAACCCACTGCTTTTCTCTTACCATTGCAAGAGCAAACTCCTACCTATGTTTTCTCTCTCTTCTCTCTCTCTTTGGTGGTATGGGGTTTGAACTCAGAGCCTCAAATTTGCTAGGCAAGTGCTCTAACATGTGAGCCATCCCTATAGCACTTTTGCTTTAGTTTCTTTTTCATATGGGGTCTCATACTTTTGCCCAGCTGGCCTTGGGAGGTGATCCTCCTACCTCTGCCTCCCACATAGCTGGAATTCGAGGCATGCATCACCATTCCCACTTGGTTCGTGGAGACAGTCTTGCTAACTTTTTGCCCAGGCTGGCCTCAAATTGCGATTCTATCTGTGCCTTCCAAGTACACAGGATTTGCAGGAGTGCATCACTGTACCCAGCTAGTGATGAAGTTTTAGCCAGAGAAGGGAATCTCCTTTGGCATTGGGGTTGTACCTGGAGCCCAAATCAAACTTCACATCCTGGGAGGTGGGCAGGGAGCCCAGGGCCCAGCACGGCACCAAAACAAACCACCTCCAACACAGATCTCATTTCCTCAGAAAGGTGACCAAGCTTCCTGAACACAGCTCCTCAAATGAGTCCATGGATGAACAGTTCCAGGGCAGGCAGGTGCCCTATTTCTGATGTTTTTCAGCACAGAGTGGGCCATTGAAGTTATTTTAACAATTTTTCTCAGGTGGGCCAAAGATTTGAACATTAAAAGGTAAGCAATAAACACTGAAGAAGTAAAGGCAACAGTTTGTAGAATCTTGGAATGCAAGAGGCCTTAAAGCTAAAGACGTCACCAAATCACTGACGAATGGATTAAGAAAATGTGGTATCTATACACAATGGAATTTTATGCAGCCATGAAGAAGAACGAAATGTTATCATTTGCTGGTAAATGGATGGAATTGGAGAACATCATTCTGAGTGAGGTTAGCCTGGCCCAAAAGACCAAAAATCGTATGTTCTCCCTCATATGTGGACATTAGATCAAGGGCAAACACAAGAATGGGATTGGACTTTGAGCACGTGATAAAAGCGAGAACACACAAGGGAGGGGTGAGGATAGGTAAGACACCTAAAAAATTAGCTAGCATTTGTTGCCCTTAACGCAGAGAAACTAAAGCAGATACCTTAAAAGCAACCGAGGCCAATAGGAAAAGGGGACCAGGAACTAGAGAAAAGGTTAGATAAAAAAGAATTAACATAGAAGGTAACACACATGCACAGGAAATCAATGTGAGTCAATGCCCTGTGTAGCTATCCTTATCTCAACCAGCAAAAACCCTTGTTCCTTCCTATTATTGCTTATACTCTCTCTTCAACAAAATTAGAGATAAGGGCAAAATAGTTTCTGCTGGGTATTGAGGGGGTGGGGGGGAGAGGGAGGGGGTGGGGTGGGTGGTAAGGGAGGGGGTGGGGGCAGGGGGGAGAAATGACCCAAGCCTTGTATGCACATATGAATAATAAAAGAAAAAAAAAAAGATGTCACCAAATCCAGAAGCCATGAGAGATTGCAAAGTCATTTACATTAAAAATAAAAGCTTAAAGCAGGGAGCCAGTGGCTCGCGCCTGTAATCCTAGCTACTCAGGAGGTAGAGATCAGGAGGATCGAGGATCTAAGCCAGCCCAGGGAAAGAGTTCATGAGACTCTATCTCCCTCCCCCGCCCCCCGCAAAAAAAAAAAAAAACATATCACAAAAAAGGTCTGGTGGAGTGGCCCTGAGTTTAAGCCCCAATACCGCAATAAATAAGTAAATTACTAAATAAATATGAAAACAATGTAATTGTAACTCATTTCAAAATAACAAGCTGAGGGTTGGGCATGTAGCTTTGTGGCAGAGCACTTGCCTAGCATGCACAAAGCCCTGGATTCAATCTCCAGCACCTCAGGAAAATAATAACGATTTCCTTTGTCTATAGAGTTCTCATAAATGAGCAAGAAAAAGATCAATAGCCCAGTAAAAAAGTGGGCAAAGAAAACTAACCAGCCACAGAGAAAGAACCCCAGTTAGTGTCTCACAGACCTGTGAAAAGTTGCTTATTGTGTCTTGCTAAGATAAATGTGAATCAAACTAGATTTGCATTTTTTTTAACCTATGGGTACAGATTTGAAGCTCTGATTAAGCTGGGTGCCTGTAATCCTAGCTACTTGGGAGGCTGAGATCAGGAGGATTGAAATTCAAGGGAAAATATTTCCCGAGACCCCATCTCCAAAATAACAGAGCAAAAAAGACTGGAGGTGGGCTCAAGTGGTGGAGTGCCTGCCTACCAACCGTGAATCCCTGAGTTCAAGGGCCTCCAACCCTTTTTGCTCTGCTTATTTTGGAGATGGGGGTCTCATGACCTTTTTGCCTGGGCTGGCCTCAAAGCTCAATCCTTCCAATTTCAGCCTCCCAAGTAGCTAGGATTGCAGGCTTGAGTCATGGGCTGCAGACTTCCCCCCTTTTTTAATTGGAGATGAAATTCATAAAACATTCACCAATTTAAAATGAACAATTCAGTTCATTATTGTGCAACCACCTCTGGTTCCAAATCCTTTTCATTATTCCAAAATAAAATCCCATACTTTAAGTGAAGCGTGAAGGTCACACGGTGACCTCTTGTATGGCTGCTTTCTCTCAGCGTGACCTCTTGTATGGCTGCTTTCTCTCAGCGTGGTGTTCTTGAGTTCATCTGTGTTTTAGCAGGTATCATTCCTTTTTATGGCTGAATAATAATCCATTGAAGATAGAGTCAACACTACAATTAGTTCATTCATCCATTGATGGATGTTGGTTGTTCCCACCTTTTGGCCATTGTGAATAGTGCTGCTTTGGACAATGAATGCCTTTTTTTTTCGCCATCCCCCCCGTGAATGCCTTTGAATCAACAATTCGTTACTAGGAACTGATCCTACCAATATGTGCACACACAAAAAAACAACCTAAATGTCCATGCACATGCACTAAGACAGCGCTGTAGCACCAACAAGAACAAGGGAGCTTTTCAAGAACTTATACAAGGTCTGGTCCAGTGGCTCAAGTGGTAGAGCACCTGCCTAGCAAGCATGAGACCCTGAGTTCAAGCCCCAGTACTGCCAAGAAGAAAAAGATTTTTTTGCTTGAGTTTGCACAGTATATTGTTAATGTATCTCTGGAAGGATCCCCAAGAGATTATGAACACAGGATGTCTCAGGGAGAGGAACCAGATAGCCAGGGAGTGGGTTTGTGGTGGAGACTAGCTGGTAAAGAAATACACTTTTATACCTTTTGGATTTTAAGGTGTGAAAATATTAAGGTAAAAAAATCTAAAAACAAACACATAGCTGTGTGTGGTAGTACAAGCCTATAATCCCAGCAGTTGGGAGGCAGACTGATGAAGGAGGATGATTTGGAGGCCACTCTGGGCTACATGGTGAGAGACCATGTAAAGTAAGTAAAAAATAAAATAAATATCTTGTCAAAGAACAGAGCTAGAACTCAAATAAACCCATTTTGTGGCTGGATGAGGTGTATCATGCCTGTAATCCTAACTAATCCGGAGGCAGAGATCAGGAGAATCGTGGTTTGAAGCTAGCCCAGGCAAATAGTTCGTGAGACCCTGTCTCGAAGAACCTATCACGAAAAAGGGATGGTAGAGTGGCTCAAGGTGTAGGCCCTGAGTTAAAACCCCAGTACCATAAAAAAAAAGCAAAAAAACCCAAAACAAAACAAAAACTATTTTGTGAGTGAAAACTGTAAGATAGAAACCTTTTTCTTGGCTCACTCCCCTGCTGCCCTACCCCCACCCACAGCACTGGGTGAGAGAGGCCTCTGGCCAGGAGCAGGCGGCTTTGGGTTCATTTGAGCAGTTGGGTATCTCTTGGGAGTAAGGGGTGGCATGGCCCCTGGGAGAGCCCAGCCCAAGAATGAAGACAGATCTACCCAAGGAATCTCATCTGACTTTAGACCCCAGAGGAGAGACTGGAAGTTCTATGAAGAGAGAAGAGCAAACACGGGCCAATCTGTAGCCTAAAGATCGTGACCACAGCAGTCATAATTCTCGAGTCCAAATATCAGGCAAAAGCAAAGGCAGATGCCCAGCGCCTTCAGAGCTCCCCGCAAGCATCTTTTCTTGGAAAGTTGTTAAAGGGTGTGCTTAGCGAAAGAAGAATGTAAACTGAAAGAAGCAAGTTTGTGTTCTTGACAAGACCAGATGTAGTTAGATAGCACAGCCTGAGGAATCTGGGTAGCATTAAGGAACCACCCAGGCCACTTTGGAACAGAGAGGATGGCACTGCCATAGGACGCCACATGGCTCTGAGAAAACAAAGTGGTTAGATTGGGATGCAGACTGTGACATCTGGCTGCCCAGAGCTTCTGTGAAAACATCTTAGGATAGGACTTTCACCTTACCTGGGCAGTGGGTTAAGAACAGAGTGAGTTTTCCTTGTTTCTTCCAATTTCAGAATTTAAAAACCTCTGGACCATCAGTTGGTAGGGGTGAGGAGGCAGCCCCATAGACTTAATTGGGCCTGTCTTAGCTTGAGTCCTGGTCCATCTCTGTCCTGATGAGAGGTGTCCTTTGGGACACCTTTCTCTGACATTGACTCCACCCTCTTGACACCTGAATCAAGCATCCTCCATCAGGTCTTCTATTACTCGGGTTCAGTGGGCAGGTGCCTGGCTCATCTCTGCTGTGCTTTGGTGCCCAGCATGGGCCTGGCACACACAGTATGTTCTGTAAATTGGCCTCCAGGCTGCTCTGGAGTTGAGGTGTCTGAGCGATGGGATTCTGGGCACAGTTTTCTGCCCTAAGAACCTTTCTTCCTTGGGCTGGAGGAACTTCCAGGGGGGACAGGACTGGCTTCCTGAAGGAAGTGGGGCCTGCTGAACTTGGGCCTGGGCTTAGGAGTGGAGGTGGAGGTAGGGACTCCTAATGCAGCCATCCGTGGGCACTGGCTAGCTTTGGGGACTTTGAGTTGGCTTCCTGGAGGAGGAAAGGGGAAGAGAAATCCCCTAGGGAGGGAGGGTGGTTTTGACTCAGTTGTAATGTCAAAATGGAAACACAGAGCCCTGCACATCACAGACTTCCCCTCTGAAAGCCTGAGGGCCACCTTATGAAATGGAAATAGCAGTCCTGCACAGGGAGTGACAGAAGGGTGACAAGGTGCTGTGTAAAGGGGGACATTGCTGCTGACCTCACAGGGACAGCTGGTTAGGGATTAAGAGATTACAGCATGTTGCATGAAGCCCACATGAAAGTCTTTCACTTCTTTTAGTCCCAGGACCAGACTCTCATCAGCTGGAGCCTTTGGGGGGACCATGATGCTCCTTTAAATTCCCATACATTCTTCCTGTCCATCAGTTAGTCACAGCCCAGTGAGAATCCTGCTATGTGTGTTCAGAGAAGACGTCTTGACTGGAGGGACAGCCATTTGGGAGACTGGCCTTTGGGACAGGAGCAGTCTCTTGGGAGGGGAGGGGCCAAGGTGACCACAAAGCCGCCCATGGGGGGGGGTGGTGAGGAACGGAGGCCTCCTGAGGGAACACAGTCCTCTGACTCCCTCTTACCCAATGTGTCAGTCTGACAGCTCCAAGGACGTCCTGTCCCCAGCTTCCCCTTGCGCAAGGGCCCCGCCCCGCAGCAGAAGGAGGCTTGAGGTTCTGCAATGCTTTGAATGACCCTACAGAGCCCCCTGGGCAGAGGGCGGGACTTCCCCTCCTCTCACAGGCCGCTGTCGCCCAGGTGTGGGTGAACGCTGCGCTGTGTGACTCAGGCAGGCGACTCCACCTCGTGAGCCTGATTAACGGGGCTGCCAACAGCGCTCGCTTCCTGGGACGTGGGGAGGATCGCCACGTCGGGTAGCCCAGGCCGCGCACGCACGCGGCTGGGGCGGGAGGCCGGGGAGGGGGCGTCGCCGTCCCCGCCCCGAGCCTGGCCGCTTCCTCCTCCCAGGGGCGGCGGCGGTGCGGGTGCCAGGCGCAGACCCCGGCCCGCGCGCTCGCCGCGCCATGTCGGCCGGCTGGTTCCGGCGCCGCTTCCTGCCGGGGGGTCCGCTGCCCACGCCGCGGCCGGCCGGGCCGCACGCCAGCCCCGTGCCCTACCGGCGGCCCCGCTTCCTGCGCGGCTCGGGTTCCAGCCCAGGCCCCGCCGACGCCTCGCGCCGCCCGGACGCCCGGCCCGTGCGCAGCCCCTCGCGAGGCCGCACGCTGCCCTGGAACGCGGCTATGCAGAGTGAGTGCCCCGCCCCCGCCCTACCCGACCCAGGCTGGGCTTCTGCGACGCTCTGGGGAGCCAGTGTCACCCCACCCCACCTGTGGATCACCCCTTGCTGCGCTCACCTCCGACCCCTGCATCCTCCCCCTCAGCCCACCCCAGTGGTCTCTTTGGATCTCTAGAGCCCCTCGGAGAAGGATGGAGCCCGGGGGCTTTGCAAGATGAGGACAGGAGACTGGGGTTCCAGCATTCTGGGCTTTGGAGATCTTCCCCTACCCTTCCCTCGCATTTCACCCTGGGTTTGGCCTGTGCGGTGTGGAACAGGGTGGTGCAGAGATGGGAAAGGGACCCCAGATCACCGCCCCCCAGGAAGTCCACCCTCACCTCCAGCCCTGGGCCAGCAGACTGCCTCCACAGGGTCTGGGCCCTGAGTTTTTACCTTAGCAAAAACACTAAACACAAAGTTTACATCGTAGCTGTCCAGCTGTGTGGCAGGGACAGCACACAGGAGCTGTTGCTCCAGCTGGGGGTCTCTGTGCCTTCAGGGACATAAATGTGTCCCTAGAGGGTCACTGACCATTTTCCGGCCTCAGAATCATCAACGCAGAGAAATCTGAGTTTAACGAGGACCAAGCTGCCTGTGGGAAGCTGCGCATCCGGCGATGTGAATTCGGGACTGAGGAGGAGCAAGAGTGGCTGACTGTGTGCTCAGAGGAGGTGAGTGCAGCCGGCCCAACACCTCTTTTTTTTTTTTTTTTGCGGCACTGGAGTTTGAACTCAGGGCCTCATACTCGTTAGGCAGGAGCTCTTACTACTTGAGCCACTCCGCCAGCCCTTTGTTGCGATGGGTTTTTTCAAGATAGGGTCTCTCTTGAACTATTTGCCTGGATTGGCTTTGAACCTCGATACTCCTGATCTTTGCCTCCTGAGTAGCTAAGATTACAGGTGTGAGCCACCGGCACCCGGTCTTGAGCCTCTTTTTCAAGCTGCAACCAGAGCTGGGTGCCAGTGGCTCACACCTACAATCATAGCTACTTGAGGGGCTGAGATCAGGAGGATCACAGTTCAAGACCAGCCTGGGGAACTATTCTTGAGACCTTTTCCGTTTCCAAAATAACCAGAACAAAATGGCTCAAGCAGTAGAGCACCTGCTCTGCAAGTGCAAAGCCCTGAGTTCAAACTCCAATCCCACCAAAAAACAAAAGCAAACAGAAGCTGGGACCAGTACAATCACACTCGCCTTGCAGCCCCATATCCTGGTTCAGGCTGGGCCAGGGGGACAGGTGGGGAAGCCAGGCAGAAGCTGACCCGGAGTCCTTCCTGTGCAGTTTCTGACAGGTCACTACTGGGCACTGTTTGATGGGCATGGTGGTCCTGCAGCAGCCATCCTAGCTGCCAACACCCTGCACTCCTGCCTGCGCCGGCAGCTAGAGGCTGTGGTAGAAGGAGTGGTGGCTTCTCAGCCCCCTATGCATCTCAGTGGCCGCTGCGTCTGTCTTAGTGACCCCCAGTTTGTGGAGGAAAAGGGCATCCGGACAGAAGACTTGGTAATCGGGGCTCTGGAGAACGCCTTCCAGGAATGTGTGAGTGTGGCCTTTGTGGGGAGGGAAACAGAATTTTTTGCCCCCAGGTACCCGAGGATTTGGGGCATCCCTGTGCACCAGTCACCCCAGGTCCTTGGACTGGGAAGGCAAGATTGGGTTGGTTTGTTCATTACTAATCACCATCATCACCATCTTCAGCCCTCCCACTTATCTAGCACCTAGTATGTGCTTGTTGCTCTTAATGGCATCATGTCATTGCACTGGCTTTTGGCCCTTGGCGCAGGTGCTGGTTTCTGTTCCAGTTTGGAGTAGCACTTCCCTTATGTAGCTCTCCTGATACAGGGGTGGGGAGTCATGGCTAGACTTGGGGCTGGAACTGCATACCTGCTGTGGGAAGTGAACTGGTGAGGGGCTTGGGGTAGAGTGGCAATACAACTGAGGTGGCCTTGGTTTACACCAGGATGAGGTGATCGGGAGGGAGCTGGAGGCCTCGGGCCAGATGGGTGGCTGCACAGCCCTGGTGGCTGTGTCTCTGCAGGGAAAGCTGTACGTGGCCAATGCTGGAGATAGCAGGTAAGTGAACCCTTGGAACTGGGCAGAGGGGAGAGGAAGTAGGGCGCCATAGAGGCAGTGGGGACAACGAAAGGTGACTGAAAGTGGAGTATTAGAGACTAGGATTGACTGACTGAGTTGTTGGTATTTGTACCTGGTGTATGTCCAGTGTGAGTGTGGACAGTGCCAGGGAGGGGAGGACCTTGTGCCAGGCTAGAGGGCTGAGTCTTCACCCTACAGGTCCTAGGCATTCATTGAGGACTTCAAGCAAGGGATGGGCATGGTTGGAGCTGGCCCTGATAGTTGGAGGGGCTGATAAGAGGGTGGCTACGAATGAGAGGAGGTTGTCTTACACACCCTTCCCCCAAACCCATCCAGAGCCATCTTGGTGCGGAGGGATGAGATCCGGCCGCTGAGCTCTGAGTTCACCCCAGAGACAGAGCGGCAGCGGATTCAGCAGCTGGTAGGTCCCCTTAGCAGGAGGTGGCTCTGGAGACCCAGTTCCCTGGGTCCAGGGGCCATAGGAGAGAGCCTGACTTGTGCCTGGCCTCCCCACTCTAGGCCTTTATCTACCCTGAGCTTCTGGCTGGTGAGTTCACCCGACTGGAGTTCCCACGGCGGCTGAAGGGGGATGACTTGGGGCAGAAGGTTTTGTTCAGGGATCACCACATGAGCGGCTGGTGAGCGGGATGGGATAGGGGGAGGTGGGGAGGGAGAAGCCTGGGATCCAGCCTTAGCTGGGTGGCCTAGGGTAGTCCCCCTCCTCTACTCAGATAAGGTGGGCACTGGGAGGGCGCAATAGCTGGGTTCAAGGTTGGGAGAAGATAAAGTAGAATGTAGGCCTTGGGCTGACCCTGGATCTGTTCCTGGTAGGAGCTATAAACGTGTGGAGAAATCGGATCTCAAGTACCCACTGATCCACGGACAGGGTAGGCAGGTCAGTGCCTGGGCCTCTATCAAGAATTCCTCTTCAGTTGCTCCCTGGAGGTGGGGACTCTATTGTGCCTTACTACTGGCTGTGGCTAGTGTCCTGGGATCTGCTCCCTTGTCTCTCAGCCCAGGGCTCCTCTCTCCGTGTGTGTTCAGCAGTGCCATAGCCTAGCACTGTGCCTTTGTTGGAGCCGTTCACCATCACCTCACGCCTCCCTTGCCCCCAGGCTCGGTTACTAGGAACACTGGCTGTCTCTCGGGGCCTGGGAGATCATCAGCTTAGAGTCTTGGACACAAACATCCAGCTCAAGCCTTTTTTGCTCTCTGTCCCACAGGTAAGGGGCCAGTATGGTCCACCCCAGCTTCCTACAGCCCAGAAAGGCAGAGTGAGACTGGTGGGAGCTGGGAAGGGAGCACTGAAGGATCCCCAGGCTTAACTTGCAGGTGACTGTACTGGATGTGGATCAACTGGCACTGCAGGAGGAGGACGTGGTTGTCATGGCAACTGATGGGCTCTGGGATGTCCTATCCAATGAACAGGTGGCATGGCTGGTACGGAGCTTCCTCCCTGCGAACCAACAGGACCCACACAGGTACTGAAGCTACTGGGGACCTGCCTGGGCCTGGCTTGGTGCCGCCAAATAGTTATGGCTGAGAAGACAGCACTGACAGTGAGCCCAGTTCAGGGCAGATGGCCAGGATTGGGGTGTCTCAAGTTGCCCGGGGGAAGAGAGGTTGGTATGGATTTCAAAAAATCTTTGGCTGAAGATTCTCGTAGTCGTTTGTGGCCCTCCCAGGCTTGTCGCCTTGGCCTAGCTTGACTACATTCTTTGGGTGCCCCAAGTGTTCAGCTTTGTGCAGAGACTGGAGAGCTGGCCTTACCCTTTTTGCTCTGTCCCCAAAGTACATCTGCAGGATGGTCTTCACAGGTTCTCGGAATTGGCCCAAATGCTGATACACAGCACACAGGGGAAGGACGGTTCCATGGGGGAAGGACAGGTGTCCTACGATGACGTCTCTGTGTTCGTGATTCCCTTGCACAGCCAGGGCCAAAGGGACAGTGGCCACTGAGGATTCCGACACTGCATTCCAGAACCTCTCCAGGGCTGGTACAGTCTGAGCATCCCTTACTATAGCTAAGAGAGGCCCTGCCTGTCCTGTCCCCAGTCACAGCCCAATTTTCTTGCCTTCCACCCCAATTTGCCTGTTTCATGGGGATCATACCAGGCAGGGAGAGCTGGAAGGAGGTGGCGAGCCCAGCCCTCTAGGTCCTGCCTTTTGCAGTAATATCCCTCTGACGGAGACATTGTACAATTTAGGAGCCTTGTGAGGCTTCTCAGACAGGATCCTCAACAGCCCCAGGTGTTATTCTCAGATAGGGACATCTGGGGTAAGGGTATTAGCCAAAGATGCCTTGAGGGGCAGGCAACCTGTTTTGATGCAGATCTCCAGTCCACGTATGTCAGGGCATCCATTCCATTCAATCCCAGTCCATGCAAGGTGCCTCATAGAGAATATTGGGAGCCCTCTGGAATGCCATCCTGATATGCCTGAGGAGAAACCAGCTAAAGTTGGGGGACAGCAGAAAGGAGCCAGAGGGGCTGGGAGCATGACTCAAGTGGCAGAGCACCTGCCTGTCTAGCAGCTCAAAGCCCAGTGCCACCAAAAAAAAAAAAAAAAAAAAGGGAGCAGCTTTCCAGAGTTGGTGGGCAGACTCACCTTCTAAATGGTTGCTTCTCCCTGGCCCCAATACTACCCTAGTCTAATGCCAACAATGCCTTTATTTTGTTGCTCCTAGTCACCTGTTATTAAATGTTTGTACGCAAAAGAGCCCTTGTGAATCATGAATTGCTTGTACAGCTTGGATACCTTTTTCAAATTCATGTGACCTTCCAGTGGATTCCTTTTAGCTCCACCTTGTAAACTTGCATGGAATCAAGACTGTTATATTTTGTCGGCTGGCACCCTCCCGCCTGCCTCATTGTTACCAAAGAACAGAAAGGCCTTTTACCATCACCTGTGAGCTCCGGGTTTGAGTTACCAGGTTTGCTTTTTTGTTTGTCTCTACCCCATCTCTCCTCAGATCTGGGGTTTGAATTCAGGGGCCTCAGGTTGGCTAGGCAGGTACTCTAACCAGAGCTATGCCAGCCCTTTTCTTGCTTTTGAATGCAGATTTCTATAAAGCTAGGTTTACCTGGAGACAGTTAAGGCCCCTAAGGCTTGTTGTTTGATAAACAGTTTAGTTCTTCACCTTCGCCACAACACTGTGTTGTCATCTAAAACTTGGGGAGGCTTAGGTGCTCAAGAAGTATTTGGTGAATTATAAGACAAATTGCCTTCAAGACCCCAGCTTTGCCTGACTCACTTCTAGTTTACATTTAGGTGACTTACCAGGCAACTCACAACCCTTGAGTGCAGCCAGGAAGATCCGGTAGCAGCTGATAGTAAAGCTTGTATAGAACTGACCTGCTGCCCATTTAGATTTCATTTTCTACACATTGTTCAGGAATAGGAAAAACTGTATCAGCTAGTTCCCATTTTCCATGTTAACTATTCCAGAGTCTAGGACTTCTGGCCCTGACAAACTGCTTGACTTCTCTAGCTCAGGGCAGCCTCTCCATGATTCTCCTCAGGCAGCTGGCAAATGCTCAAGTGCCACTCTACCAGCCCCCAAGATCTGACTTCCTTCTTCCTCAGCACAGCCCTCTCCACCCCCCGAACAAAGCGTGGGCAGCACCCTGTGCCTGCGTTGTATCACACCAGGTGCTGAGCAGCTCGCCCCCACAGCCGGCTGATCCTGCTTCCGACCCAGCCTGCTGCCTCTTCCCTGTTCTTGCCTGGGGAGTGGGTACAGCAGGTCTTTTCACTGCAAGCAGGCCAGAGGACTGGCTGCAGCAAGGGCAGCCAGCTGATGGCGTTGTGTCTCTCAGCAGACCTGAGGCTGCAGCAGCCCTCTCACCAGCTCAAGGGGTTCTCTTCCTTCTTGAGCAGTCTTGGGAGAGCCTATGCATGGCCAGGTTGTTTGGTCCAACCTCCAAAGTGGCAGGCCAAGGTTTTCATCTCTGGTTCACAGATGCAGGAAGCAGGTCCTACAGCCCTGAGGATACTAAGATAAAGCAGCAGGCTCCAGGAGTTATCAACTCACTAGCCCAGGAATGAGTTACCAAGCAACTAACTAGGACTACTGTTAGAAGGCCTATCCTTGCCCTCTGTGAGACAGGGTCCAGCAGGATGAAACTTACTCCAACGAGAGGTGCCGGTCTCATCAAGGTCTAATGCAAAGAACCTGAGGGAAGGTCTGAAGATGGTCGGGTCAGGCTTGCTTTTCCTAGTCACTCATTTCTGGCCCTATGGCTGGGATGGGTCTGGATGTTCCAGCCCACACGCCTTAGTTAGCAGGGGGTCTGAGAATCCACATAGGATTAGAGAGCGCCCCATGTGAGCTGGGGCATAGTAGACAACCCATCACTCCCTCCCACCCCTCTGGGAACCAGGCAAACAGTGCTACAGAAACTCAATGGAAGAGGCTCCAGCCATAAAATTATGTTTATGACTGATAACATGGAAAAATGTTTATATGTTAAGTACAAAAGGGACATAAAATTGTATATACAGAATAACAACTATGTAAACACACCAAGAATCTATGCACAGAAATGTAGAGAAGAACATTTAACATCAAAAGATTAACAGTGGTAGCATTTGGGCAGCAAACTGATCCTAAAATTCCCAGATTTTCCTTAATAAGCAATAATTATGATTGCAACAGGGAATTTTTTTTTTCTTTTTTTTTTTTATAAAAACACCCCACTGGAGAGCTGGGAGTGTAGCTCAAGTGGTAAAGCGCTTGCCTAGCAAGCTCAAGGTCCTGGGATCAATCCCTAGTACTGCAAAATAAAACAAAAACCCACTAGAGCTGGGCGTGGTGGTGCACACCTGTAATCCCAAGTCAGGAGGATCCTGAGTTCAAGGCCGTCTCCAAAAACAACCTCCCCCCACTAGCTGGGGTTTGAGCAGTTAGCTGTAAAATAGAAAAAGTGGCCTTGGCCCAAGCTCTTCAGAGGGTGGCGAGAGCCCCTCTCTGATACACTCCTGCATGCCATCACCACCCATCTCACATCACTCCACTTTGAATCTTTCCATTTCCTAACTCACTCAGCTGCCACAGGGCTCAAAAATAGAGGCTGTGAGTAGGTACATTTTCAAAAGACATGGCACACAGGAACTCAAATCATTTCTTGCTACTAGGCAAGCCACTATCTCTCTGAAGTTCCTAATGTGAATTTGCTATCCTGAAGGTGGGCAGTAATAGCTCACATCATTTGGTTCCTTACAGTCCCTCCACTCTGGGAGGGCAGAACTACAATGGGTGACATAGCAGCACTTGCAGATTCCAGTCTACTTTTGACAAAGGTGTCTGCCTCTTGCCCTTTCAATCTGAGTAACAAGTTGAAAAATAATTGCTTTTAAAAAATAAAGAAAGTGCTAGTGGTTCATAGCCTGTGCCTGAACAGAAGCAGTGATGGCTTGATTTACATCCCTCCCCCCCAAGTAGCTGTGTTCCCCTGGGTAAGTCACAACCCTGTGGGGCCTCAGTTTCTGATCTGCAGGGAGTGTTGCCTACATAAATGGTTGGGAACTTAGTCAAGTAACATGCCACTTGCTCTGCTCTAAGGAGGCCATACAGGGGAAGAAAAGGCCATGGGCCAGCTGCAGTTCTCAACTTGGGCCTAGCTAGAGCCCCTTCCTCAAGAGAAGGCAAGAAAGATATACCAGGTAAATGAGAGTGGCCTATAATTGGCAAAGAAGCTTCAGACTGATGCTTCAGACAAACACTCTGGTTCCAGCACCCTGTCCCCAAATACAGCAAGCCAGGAACAGAAGCCATGCAAAAGTGACTGTCACACATACACAGGTGCAGACAGAGCATAACCAGGCAAAAAGGAGACTAATACTTTAGAGAGGGCCCCGAATGTGGCTTGAGGAACACAAGGGAATCACCCCAAGACCCTCACTTAGCTGCCATAGAAATAGCAAATACTAGAAGCTTTGCTTCATTTAGTCTCCCAAAGGAAAAAAGGTTAACAGGGAAGGCTAACACTGGTAACACTATTAGCAAGGACGTAGTCCGGGGTGCAAAACTCCCTCTCTTTCAGCTGAACACTTAGAAACTATAGACAAGGTAGATAGATATGCATACACACACATATATGCATATATGTCTGCACAAGTATATTTAAATGGAGGCACGCACACTGTGCTAAAATACAAACAGAAGTCAAAGGTCATATATAAAAAAACCTAAGTATAACATATAACACAGGCCTAGAACCAGCTCTTCGGTGGGAGCTGGGGAAAAGGGGTGTCATCTGCAGACTATGTACACGATTTGTGGTTGGCAGGAAAGGAAGGCATCAGTGTAAACAACTCAGACTTACTCCACAATACTGGCCCACAGAAAGTGTGATGCATCTCAGGTACAAAAATAGACTCCTACCTTGCTTTTGTACAAACCAAGCTCAGTAGGCCCCCAAAAGGACTGTGGGTTTGTCTTGATGATGGACTGTACCAGGCTGTTGCTAAACCTTCCAACCCTCAGAACTCACCTGCTACCCCTTTCCCTCCCTTTCAGGCTCTTGGGTCTGTTTCTACCCTGTATTAGAGCCTGAAGCCTGCCCAAACCACCCACCCTCTCAGGACTAACTGCACGGCTTCCTGACAAGAAAGGTTCTTCTATATCTGTCCCTTTCTCTGACCCCAAGGTATGTGAAGACTTACTTCTGTAGAACATTTGGCACCTAAGCAACACGATGGTTGTGGAATAATGCCACAATTACACAGGGAGACCCAGTAACAAGACATGCAGGGTGAGGGCAAGGGGCACTGAGCTGCCCTAATATCTTAAAACCAGAACTGAGGCTTCCCATGCATTTATCAGGATGGGAAAAGGGATGTGCAGAATTGATGACTTCACCGGCTCTTCAGCAGCAAATACATTCAAAATTGAAGGCGTCTTGAGAGCTCCGCTATAACCGAATTGTGAGTCTGGTCACCCCTCTGGAGGAGCTTGGTGCAGTGACAGCTGGAAAGGCTAAGTTCCAACTGAATCTGCAGTGCCAGAGTCCTTTTGATGAAGCTCAGCAACTAATCTGTTTTTCTTTTGAGTAGATGTACAGCACATCCATGGGAAGGCCATATGAAAGGATGTTTTCCAGCCTAGTCAAATGATCCAATCCCACTGTTATCTCAGTCCCCTCTGAGTTTTTCCACTTGGTTGCCCTCACTGTACAAAATAGCCGAGTAACATCAGGGTCAGTCATCAATGGTGGGCAACCAGAAGGCCTGAAAAGAAAACATACGTAAACTTTAAAAAGCCAAGTATCTCCTCACTGTAAAGCATTTGTCATACTCCCCCCCACCCGCAGTATGAAGATGCCCAACCCCAATTATGGACGAGCTATGGCCTGTGGCTGTCCCTCCTTACTGACCAACTGTGGCAGTCTATGGAGACAAACACTCCTGGTCTCTGCAAATAGGCTGGTCTGTTTCCCTCCAACACTTACAATACCACACCAGCTCAGTATTATAAAGGAAAAAGAAACGTACTGCTTAGGAGGGGAGTGCTTGGGTAACACGGCCTCACTGCTAATCTTAAGGTGATTTCAGACAGGTCTTCTTTCTAAGCTGAGCAAATGAGGATAGCTCACCCAGATATGAAAAAAAAAAAAAGGAATGGGTGGTTTTACTTCATTCTTTCTTTTTTTTTTGTGGTAGTTTTGGCACTGGGGTTTAAACTCAGGGTCTCACACTTGCTGGGCAGGTGCTCATATCACTTGAGCCATTCCACCAGCCCTGACATATGTTCTTATTAGCTTGTTTAAAAAAAAAAAAAAAGGGGTGGTGGTGGAGGCACTGGGATGCCCCCTCACTGGGGCTCAGTGGTAAAGATTAAAAAAAAAAAAAAAGGGAGGAAGAGGAGTACAATGTGCCCCGAGTCAGGATGG